AGGGAAGAGGGAAGAGGGAAGAGGGAAGAGGGAAGAGGGAAGAGGGAAGAGGGCTTGAAGAGTGCGGATTCCTTTTATTGCTTGCGAAGTATCAGCTTTCTGACAACAAATCCTAGCTGTAATCACCTCCATGTCTATAACGACGAACGTTTGCTAAACGGCATTCGGATGCCCTGTATATTATGAACAATAACGAACCATACGCTCTCACCCGAACCGTAACACTGTACCATACAAGTACGATAGTTGTCAACATAGTCTACGATATAGCTTGTCATGTATCTGCTCGCAGAACAGTCAAAGCACAAGTAAGCAAAGTGAAGGGTTTGTGAGCCGCGGTGATGGGCATAGCGTAGCAAGGGGCAAGGAGGCGCGTTTGGAGCGCCGCAGGATGGAAATAAGGACGGTTTCGAAGAGAGCGTCGGCCGAGGTCTTCTAGACAGTGAGCATCGGGTTACTGCTCTGGAAAGAAAAGAAAAAAAACGATGATCCAACACGCACCTTGTAGAGATCAGCTCGTGGGCATATCACTCATCTACCCCTCCATCTCGGCCACACTTATCCACTCCATCGATTCCGGATAGTATATCGCCATCTTCCGATGCTCCTAGCTGTCTAGATGGTCTTGACGACGCCTCGGCCATGGGAGAAGGGTGGTACGAAGTGCCCTTTTCGGAAAACCGGAAGGCTGTATCGGCCTCATCTATGAATGCGCTCTGGGCGAGTGTCTGCAGCAGGCAAGGGACAGACTTGGAGAAGCGAAGTGTCTTGGTCAGAGAGTTGAGCTGACAAGAGGAGGTCAGGGGGCGTCCGGGGAAACAGCTTGAGGATTGAGAGGTGCACTGGCTGACGCGTCGTGTCAGCATCAGTCAACAAGACAGCCGTGTAAAGAGACTGGTCATCGCTCCTTCAATCCCGCTTAACCTCCGTCGTGACAGTCTGAGTGCAGGCCCTAGACTCGACCATCAGACAGCTGATTGATTATACTCCTTGCAGTTGTACATGCTGCCGAGTCAGATCGCAGTACCAGAATTTCGGCGTTCGGTCAATGGGCAATTATCAATCCATATTCCTTCCACTCTCGGGACATTTGCTTGGTATGGTTGTATGGCTTCGCTGATGGCTCAAGCATGATGAGCATCGACGACTATGATTATGTGCTATCGTCAGCGTCTCGGTCGAGTGCCACCTGTGTGCAAAACGCCACCGTCAAGCTGCGTCGTGTGTTTCAATCACTTGTCACGTATTCTGTATTCTCCTCTTCCATACCCCGACGGGAGAGTCTCTGGACGCGGAGCTGCTGGCTAAGGCGGCGAAGGAGCGGGGAGGGACTGGTCTGGAGCGAAGGGGATAACGTTGACGAGAGGGGGACGAGGCTCCTTCATACAGTAAGTCAGTTCGCTGATTGACAAGGACGAAGCACTCGCATGCTTTCCAGACATCCACCACAGAACAAGTCGCCCTGCTATCCCTTCATATGCGCAAGACCACTCCCTCCCTCACCTTCGACATATCGATCGCCGACGCCATCCCCTGGTCATCTCGGCGGACCTTGAGCATGTTGCCGCCCAAGCGAAAGGGGTCGTAAGAGGAGGGGAGTCTGTTGCCCTAGTTTTCTTCATCTAACCAGCCTGCCTACCGACTTTCTTCCCTTCCTCGCTCTGGGTCTTGTCTCCAGGCGCTCCCTTCTTCGACCCTCTTCCGGGCTATTTTTCTTCTCTCTGATGGATGCCCTACTTGACTGTATCGACAAGGGCGAGGATCGCACTGCCTCCCTCTCCTGCCTCGCCAACCAACCAAGACTAATCCCCAGCAGCCAGCTCTCCCTTCCTGGACTCTCGCCACTTGCACTGGCTGAAAAAGACATGGCCAGCCAAGACGTGGACCGTGTCTTGTGTCGAGTGCTTCTCATCCGTGTACGGTCGTATGACGGTCTTGCTCGTGGTACCAGAGTGACTCCAGACATCGGAAAGGTCGTTACTTTTGGGGAGCAGGGACTGGGAAAGTGGGAAGGGTCGGCCAGGGGCGAGCGACGAGGGGAGAGGGACGATGTCCGTCGTTAAACGTCGAGGGCGGCAGGTGCCACATGCAGCGGAGACGGGAAGGGGCAAGGGGGAAGGGTGGGCAGTGACAGTGACAGTGACAGTGACAGTGACCGGGAGAGAATGGGAAGGGCAAGGAAAGGAAGAAGGGCCAGAGGAGGGAAAAGGTGAACAGTCGGAAAGCGTGTATGCGGGGGTATATACGTGCCTTGCTACTGTACTAGTAAAGACATTTCGCTGATAACCACTCTCATACAACGTGTCTTTTTGCACCCGCACAAACTCTCAACTAGATGAAGAGGAAAAGCAAAGGTAAAGGAAAGAGCAAGAAAAGAGGGGAAAGGTAAAGAGAGACAAAAGACAGAGACGGAGAGGAAGAGAAGCTTAGAAGCCTTCAACAGCAGTAGCGTTGGCGTTGACGGCGTTACCGTTGAAAGAGGAAGTAGTGCTGGGGGAGGTGGAGGCGTTGGAAGCGGAAACGTTGGCAGAGTTAGAAGCCTCAGCCCACTGACACCCCCCCAGCTCAATCTTCCAGATATAGCTAAGCACATTGTAGGATATCCTCCTTCGACTGGGAAGGTAGCCAAGAAGCTATACGTGCAGTACCGAACTCAGGCAATCCTGTAACAGTTGTAGGTCATGCTGCAGTATGATCGGCCACTGGGTCATAAACACGAAAGTTGCATATCCTTTCTGACATATCCAGTTCGCGGTCCACTACAAGAGGATTGAACGACATACGCACTTGTACCATAAGAATAGACGAGTATGCATGTCAGAACAGCGCCTCAAACATCTTTCTGTGGGGAGCAAGGGACCCGCACTCCCATTCATTGGTATATCAGTGCCCGACGAGACTTGGGGGACAGGGTGACGAGCAAGACGACAAGAACTTTCTCAAAGCGTTCAACGTGCCACCTCTTCATCTGCGTCGCCAAAAGCTACTAGCAGCGACAATCCTGACGACGGAGGGGGGGATATCCGGGGGAGGCATGGGTCGAGAGAGATGTCGTAAGGGGCGCATGGATGAGGATGATGAACAGGCTGTCGTGGATAGTGAGTCATTGCTGCTTGCGGAAGGACATGGGACGAACTGACGCCCGATTTGGAGAGATCCATTCCTGGGCATCTCGGTCTGCCATTCCGCCATCTACCGACCCAGCTCCTCCCTCCCTTCTTATACATCAGTCACCAACACAAACGCCAACACAAATGCCATCACCCGACGACTAAGATACTGCAGAGGACGACGACGAGGAGGAAGAGTGGGTAGAATATGAGGATACGGGACACCTACCGCCTTTGATGACCCTGGAGGCTGTCACACAGCCTCCACGATGGATGCGTTGATCGAGGATGTTATCGGCAAGCATGGTCTCTTTTTCGGTTCATGTAGAACCAGCGAGATAGCATTGACACGTCTCTCACAATGCATTCAGACACGAACCTCGTCTTCTCTTCATCCTCTTTCTTAGCCTTCTTTTCCGAACCGTTCGTATTCCCGACTTAATCTCAATGTCTTCTGGCACCTTCTGCATGTCCTCTACCAAAGCCGTACAGCCACCGACTTGGAAGGATTTGATCGTTGCTGGGGTACCGTCAGGCTACACGGCACCGTCAGCTGAAGTCACGGTAAGGACAATGAGAGTTTACACGCGAGCGATACGTACGAGGGCAAGAAGCTTTCCGTCAGCGCGCTCTAAATTCTCCCGACCTGCTCATTTGCCTTCTTGACTTCTGCCTCCTACCCCTTCCCCAGGAACAGCCAGGCTTCCGGGTAAGCCCTTGAGTCGGCATTGAAGGCGAAGGCGGTCAGACGCATTTCGGGTGGCTGGTCGTGGAGAGCGATGTTCTGGTGAAGAGTGGGAAGTGAAACGGGGCGGAGGGAGGATTTGGATCGGGGCTTGGAATGGTCTGGTAGATGATCGGCTTGCAGTTTGTACCATAGAATGTACCGTAGGGAGGACGACTGGATTCTCGTCCGCAAGCCACTACCACTGCGACGCAGAGGTCAGCTTCTCATGCCTCGACTACGCTGGTAAAATGAACACGTACTGTTTCCAGCACCAGCACTGGAAGCTCGATCGCACCCTCGATCGTTACCTGATTTCCATGAGTTCTTGGAAGTCTTCGAAACATAGGTGGGAGAGACGGGGTCGGGCCGAGGATAGAGACCAGGGGGTCACCAGGTACTGAGTGAGGATGGAATGATGCACAGACGGCCTAGGCGCCAGGCTTGAACAAGTCAGCAAAAACTAACGATACAGAAGAAAACGAAGCTTACCATTGATGAAGGCCAGCTCACGGGCCTTCCTGCAACTTGAGGACGACGATCAAGTCAAAAGCGGGAGCTGGATGAGCGCCTTCCATAAGACAAGAAGTCATCATGGTGGCTTGTAGAGCTGTAATATCTATCAGCATGGATCATAAGTAACAGATGGCACTCACCAGTGGCGGCCAGACAACTGCACTCTGTTTCGGTGTCCGTCTGAGAAGTCTGCACCACTTCGGCTCCTGCCCTTGAAGCTACATCATTCCAGGCATACCTAACCGCGTGTGGGCAATTCACCTGAAAAAGTCGTCCAGAAGCTATACGCGTAGTATCAGCATCCATCGACCCTTGTAATTCTGGCACAGCTGTAGGTCGGCCAATGGGTCACAAGCACGCGAAGCTGCATATACTACCTGACAGATACAATCAGCGCTAAACTTCAAGCGAGCTGGTCGCCGATACACGCACAGGCACTTGCATGATAAGAGTAGACGAGTATGCATGTCAAAACAGCGTCTCAAATAGTATATGATGGTGCCACAGTGTTCGAATGCCGAAACGCCACAAGGACGCGTCGCGTTTCATCTGTCTCTGTGTATCCACTGCAGTCTCTGCATCCCACATCCACAATCTACCCGCCACCTCGCCACCTCGAGTTCTTAAAGATTCGCACCGCATCGCCATGGACGGAAATGACGACCAGCGAGGGGTAAGGCCCGACCCGCCAAAAAAGCGAAGGTTAATTGATGGGACCAAGAATTGGTTCAAAAATATTTTCGCAAAGCCAGCGACTGGCAATGCATCCACTGCTGGCCTCGATGAGCAGCGCCAGCTCTCGCCACCCCAAGAGTTGCACCAGTCCTCATCAACCGAAGAGGTGCGCCAGTGTCCATTGCTTCAAGATGTGTCTCCCATCGTTGCTAACGAACGTCAGCACGAGCAAGGCCCCGATGAACGGCGCCAGCTCCCGCCACCCAAAGAGGTGCAGTCTTCATCAACCGAAGAGGTGCGCCAGTCTCCAATTCCCCGAAAAGGTCCTTCCCATCATCGCTAACGGACGTCAGCACGAGCAACCGTCGGAGCCTGCCCCTAGGCGGTCAGGTAGATATCAAGCCAAGCAGCCGCAACAATCTCCGACTGCTCCCCCAGTCGCCTCGCAAGAACCTGCGCTTCTCGACGAGGCGATACTTGAAGAATTCGACCGATATGTCCGTTGTGCATGGAATCCGACACCGATTCCGACAGACGAGCGTCTCGAGGAATGGAGCGAACATCGACTTGGAGATATCTTAAGGCTCGAGCTGCCAGAGCCTCTTGCTCTGGAGGTGGCATCCGAAAGCTACTTCAATTTGATGCTCATCATATTTACAGGGGAACCGGAGGCGGACCTCAAGGACGCGCTGTTCAGTGACAGCAGGAGGTCTCCGAAGGCCTTCGTGCGCTTGGACTCGTCGAGGCGACCGAGGGGTCAAGTTGGGATTGTACACAGTCTCGCGGGCAATCTCCTTCATCAGCACTCACCGTACTCGCTGGTGAGGGAACCCACCCACTCTGCTGTGGCCGATGCGCTGTACTCAGCGACGAAAAGGCTCAAAAGGGATGGAGAGATTGATTCAGCTTTGAGATACATCGCGAGTGCGTCTTTCAATGCCCACATCTCACTTCTGCTGACTGAAATCCACAGACAAAATCCACAACGACCTCAGGGAGCCGAAGCAGAGTCGCGCCAGCCAGTTGGGCGCAGCGCAGTCATCGGAAGTGCCATCCTCAAAAGCCTCGTCTACGACGGGTGTGGTCGAGACTGACTTCTCGTATGCGTTTTTCTGGCGCCCCCGAATCCCCTTCCGAGTCTTGAAGAGGGAGCACCCACTTTATCGTGCGGTGTTAATGGTCGTGGAGATGAAGCAACTCCAGGTTGATCATGACGTGAAGATCAAAGTACCGCCGGGGCAGGCGAAGAAGCAATATGAGCAGGGGCTGTCACAGGTGATAAAGTACCTCTACCATGCTTGGGAGAAGTTTGGAACCAGGATCGGTCTCTTCGTTTGCGGTCCTTTCTTTGCCAGGCTGCTCGTCACCGACGACAAGGGTAACATTGCCGTCGAGTGCAAACCTTGCCCGAACGTCGGGCAAGAGTATTCCTCCCCGGGCTCTTACTTCAAGGAGTTCGACTACCTCAGTCTACCTCACTCGCTGCTCCTTCCCTATTCGACCAATTCACAGCTTGCCGAACAGCTGGGTGTTGATGACCCGTTGCCTTTGCTAAACTTGGAAGGCTTGCGGAAATTCGAAGAACTGAGCACCCACGTCTTCAAATCTGCTTTTGACATGAAAGTCGCTGCGGCCCTTGGCAAGCGGTATGATCCCTCTCCCACATCTACTTCAGCCCAAGGCCAAGACTCCGGCTTCCCGACTCTCTGCGACCTTTCGCCACAAAACGATGCTGCCATTGTGAAGGCTGGTCCTCGCTCTCCTATCCATTGGTACATCAGTGCCCGACGAGACGCCAAGGACAGGGTCGATGAGCACGACGTCAAAAGATTTCTTGAAGCTTTCAAAGCGCATGTTCTATCGTCATCCTCGCCGCCTAAAGATTCTGGCAGTCACAATCCTGACGACGGAGAGGGAGATAATCGGGGGCGCGAGGGTGACAAAGATGAGGGTCACAAGGACAGTCATCACGGGCGCAGTGGGGGATATGGGGGATATTGGGGTGGCGGCGGCGGCGGCGGTGGTGGTCAAGGCGGGGAAAAGGCTACGGGGGCCAAGTCCGGAGGGCCGCAAGCGAAGGAAGAGGAGTTTCAAGAGAACTTTGAAGACGATGTGGAAGAGAATGTGGAAGAGTACGACGGACAAGACTTCCTAGACAGTGAGTCAGTGCTTTTCGAGAAGGACAATTCGCTAAGCCCCGATGTGCAGAGGTCAAATCCTGGGCACCTCACTCTGCCGACCCGGCATTCGCCTTAGACCCGGCCCCCTGTCTACCTCCGACGTCCCGACCGCCATCGACATCTGATGACGAGGATGACGAGGAAGTCTGGCCGGACTACGTAGATACCGACAGCCTGCCCCCCTCCATCACCATCAAAGCCGTCTTGTCGTCCACTATGGACCAGCTAATCGACGACGCTCTCAAGGAACAACGTCTCCTTTCTGGGTGCACCGCGGATACCTCTGAACGTCCTTCGCCCACGAGGACAGCTCGTACCGACGGTTCGGGCTCTACCCCCGGTACAGCCTCCACACTCTTGAACGCAAGCCCTCCCTCTGGCGTCTTGAGCAAGCACCTTGAGGAGCGGCCTGCCGAAGGCTCGCTGAGGGAAGGGCAGGGGTTGAGCGAGTAGGGGAGGAACGAGGGTCGGCCAGGGGCGAGCGGAGGGGAGAGGGGGTGATATGTCGTCGTTAAACGTCGAGGGCGGCAGGTGCCATATGCAGCGGAGACGGGAAGGGTCAAGGGTCAATGGTCAAGGGGCCATGGGCAAGGGGCAAGGGGCAAGGGCAAGGGGGAGGGTGACAGGGGCAGTGGCGATAAACCGGAACCGGGAGAGAATGGGAAGGGGGCAAGGGAAGGAAGAAAGGCCAGAGTAGGGAAAAAGGTGAAACAGTCGGAAAGGCGTGGTATGCGGGGGTAACGTACGTATCCCATTCTCGCTGACAACCAACTCTCCATTTCCCAGGTCATCCCCCCCAAACAACTTATCAAAACCACTTCGCAAAATCCACTCTGTTCTTTACCACACATTTCTCGACCGAATCGAATCAAACTCGGCAGTCGGCTGCCCTTGTACACGAGTACTCATACTCGTATACACGAGGAATCAAACAAAGGAAACGCTCTCTCACCTGAGTAGTACGCTGTATCAGGACGTCTCACGCCTCTCACATGAACCTTACGCTATATTGACACATGTACATGTATATCTACTTTATAAAAGAATTGTACAAGATCAAAAAGGACACAAGTTGCCAGACGTACTTTTTGTCCAGAATGACGAGCGTTCGCAAAATAAGCAAAGACAGCGACGTTGCGAGTGTCGGCGAGAAATGCAAGGAGTGTATCAGAGCAGAGCAGAGTAGGCAGAGTAGGCAGAGTAGGCAGAGTAGGCATATATATTCCCATTATTCATGCACACACACACATGACGCAAAAAGAGAAAGAAGAGTTTAAAGATAGAAAGAAAAAGAATCTACAAAAGAGCTTTCGACTTGTCGGGCAAACTCAACCAACTACCACCGTGAAAGCGCCCAAACGCCAAAACGCCGGTTATATACAACGTGTCCCGCACAGACTCTCTCATCTAGATAAAGAGGAAAGGAAAAGGGAAAGGGGAAAGAGGGAAAGAGGGAAAGAGGGAAAGAGCAAAAGAGCAAGGAAAGAGGGGGGAAAGGTAAAGAGAGACAGACAGACAAAAGACAGCGACGGAGACAAGACAAGACGGGGAAAAAGAAGGGAAGCTTAGAAGCCTTCAACAGCAGTAGCGTTGGTGTTGCCGTTGGAAGAGGAAGGAGAAGTAGACCCGCCGGCGTTGGCAGCGTTGGAAGCCTCAGCCCACTGACCCATCCCCGACATCCCAAACCCAAGTTCCATACCCGTCCTAACCGCCTTCTACAACAAACCCCATCAGCTCTCGTCCCTTGACAAAGAGAAGGAAGGGGAACTCACTTGAAGGTCAACCATACTAACCTGCCCCCCTTGCCCCTGCGAGGCCGCAGCCGCCGCCATACCGCCGCTACTCGGGAAGATACTAGCCAAAAGCTGTTGCGTGAATACGTCCTGTCCTTGCCCTTGCCCTTGCCCTTGCAGGAAAGACTCGTACCCCTGCCCCCCTGGAGCTTGAGCTTGAGCTTGACCTTGAGCGTGACCGTGGCCGTGGGCGTAGAGCGAAGGATGGAAGGGAGGATGCCCGTGCGCTTGGGCTTGCGCATGCAAAGACTGGTTGACAAAGTATTGTTGTTGCAGCGCCATCATCTGTGCGCCTTGTACCCCTCCCCCCTGTACGCCTGGGACGCCTGGGAAAGACTGGTGTCCACCGAGCTGCTGTGTCGACGGCTTGACGTCCTCCCCCTGCCCCTGCGAGTGGTGGGAAAGAGAGAGAGAATGCGAGCGCTGGGAATGGGACGAAGCTGGCGAAGGCGTGTGGCTGTACATGGTCTGCGTCTCCACCGCCGACAGCGGGGGCGTGAGCGCGGGGTGGTGGTATGTCATCGGGGACTGCTCCGACGCCGACGCCGACGCCGAAGTGTCAGAGAGGAAGGGGCCGTTGCCGTTGGCAGGAGCCAAAGTGGAGGTGAGGGAGGCGGAAGAAGGGTAGTTGGGCATGGGGTAGTACTCGGGCGCGGGCCAGGGGGCGAGGGGGAGTTTATCGATCGACTCTCTCGGCGTGATCAACCCATTCCCCGCGATATCCTCATCCTCGCCCTCCTCCCCATCCTCCATCCCCATCCCCGCAAACGTCCCAAACGCCTCCTTCTCCACCCCCAACACCTCTTCCATCTCTTCCCCCCACTCCCCTTGCACTCCCCTCGCCTCTTTCTGGGGATACCCATTCATCCCCCTCCACTGATTGACCTCCCTGATCAACTCCTCCCTCTCCCCCCAAACCTCCCTCAACAGCCTCGCCGCCAACAACCTCTGTTCGCGCTGATACGCCAGGTGCTTGATACTGCCGTTGACGATCGCGCTCTTGGACGGGCGGCGGGCGTCGGCGAGGGAGGGGAGGAGACGGGCGAGGACGATGAATTTCGAGTTTAGGGTTTCGCGGCGGGCGCGTTCGATGGCGTTGTGTTGGGAACGCTTTTCGGCGGTGTTGACTCTTTTGCGGGGTTTGGGCTTGGGCTTGAGCATCCCTGCGCCGGGGCCGGCGGCGGGGTGGGAGGAGGGGGGGACGGGGGGGAGAAGGGGGTTGCGAGTGGAGTATGTACCCGGGGAGACGGGGGAAGTTGATGTGGGGGAAAGCATCTTGTTGTTGTTGGTGAAGGGGAGAGGTGCCGCGAGACGAATCTCAAGCGAGCACAAGGAGGTCGGAAGGAGGTGGGTTGGACTTTAGAGGGCCAGCTTGGTGGATGTATGCAAGGTTGCTCGCAAAGTGGAGTGGAGGGGGAGGAAGAAGTGACTGGGTCGCGAGCGCTGGAGTGCATGTCAGCGAGATCCACCTGTTACGTGATACTCGACTCACGAGCAAGCGGTATCCTTATGTCACAGCAGGAGGAGGCGGGGCGTGCGCGGGTGGGGCGTGGGGTGGCTGGCAGAGAACAGAGATAGGGGGGGGGGAGAGAAGGAAGAAGGAAGGGAGGGCGTGAGAAAAGAGCTCGAGCGGCGATCCACCACCAGATCCAGATCCGGGCTGCCCGGCCCACAAAACACACACACAGCCCAGGAACTGGGGTCTCAATCCCGGAGTCTCCGCATCCTCTCAAGTCTCAGGGCACATCCAAGAAAACCCAGGGCGTCAGGGCGCACCGTAAAGCTCGGGACGCGGAAACCTCTTCTCGCCTTCTCGCGCGCAATCTGCAGTTCAGCCAGTTCTGCACCAACAACTTTGATCGGGCATCCGCTCCTTTGGGACCGGGGAGAGAGATGGCAAGGAACGATCCATTGAAAATACAGATTGGATCCAGGGACACAGGGTGAGTTAGTGTTAAAGGAACAGGGCAGAGGGAGGGAGAAGGGACGCCCCGCCTATCTATCTGCCCAAGAGCCGTATTTGGGCCTTTTGTCTTTTTGTCAGAAACTCGGAATTTATATTGCGTAGCTGGGTGGCGCCTGTGGCGGGCAGCAGCAGACAGCAGACGGAGGGACGTCTCCCTCCTCCCTCTTTGATGGCCCGTTGATGCATATCACGTCATACATCTCACTGGAAGTGACACAAGTGACAAAAAGCGCCAGAAGCAACGAGCGTCTGTATGTATGTAAAGTATGTAAAGTATGTATGAGTGTCTTGAAACCTTTTTGATGCGTACGTACACCGCTCCCGGTGAATCGCCAGAGTGACATGACCGATAACCCAACTCCATCTCCTCCACTTTTATCCACTACTCCAACCACTACTACTCGATTCCTCATATGGATTTCCCACCGCTTATAGCATACTTACCCTATACAGTACGAGTAGAGTACTCGTACATGGTCTGGCTTTCGTCCTACTATCTATCTATATCCGTCGTTGGGGTACCATCCAGCATCATGCCAGGGCTAATATAGCTCACATCATTCTGTGCGTTAGCAACAGCACTACTCTTTCTGTGATTACTATATGACCTTTTCGATGATTCACCTAGACGTCCATCGTTCTCAACCGTCACCCAACGTAGAGCTTTTGCTCTTGAACATGTCATGCGTCAAAAAGGCATTGATGATCAATCAGTTCGCTTCCGTGATATGTACTCTCAAAGCATTGGTCTTCCGGTGGCCCCGATGAGTCCCATTATCAATTTCTGTCATCCAGATTCTACGACCAACCTCCAGGTACTTTGATTCCACGACGCCATACTACGTCTATGCGCTCAGAAAGACAAGGTCAACGAGCTCGACCTCTCAGCTCTGTACACACCCAGGGAACCCGTTCTACGCATACCGGGGAGACATGTTGGGCCCCGGGCGGGGGCAGACAGGGTGCCTAATAAAGACAAAGCCAACAGTCTGTCTTGCATCAGTGATCTACAGTTATCCTCATCAAAGGTGCAAAGGCCATGCTCACCAGAAACCTTTGGGTTCCGCACGGTCTCGCCAATGGCTCTCTAGGTGTCGTGCACTCTATCGGTTGGGCTGCCGCAACTCAGCCCGGGTGTTGATATGCCTATGCCTGCTTTTGTATTAGTCGCCTTCAAGGGGTATAATTACTACTGGCCCAGACGTAGCTGGACACACAGACGAATGGCGTACCTTTGGTTCCTATTGTGCCGCTCACATTCACTTGGGGAAAAGGTTCAAGCAAGTGTAAAAGATCCCAGTTGCCATTCGTTAGACCTCGGCTTTTGCCTTGACTATCCATAATAAAAATCACAAGGTACAACCCCTTCAGAAGGTCATTCTTGACATTGGTCATCGGGGAGTTCTCCAGGGGATTAACTTTTGTGGGAGCTTTGTAGGGTGGAAAGATATCAGGATCTTGCCTTCAGCCCAGGATTTGGAATGTCGCGGTTGACCCAAGTAGGTGGTGGTACTGAGACCGCCCGTAAGGATGCCGATAGACGGTCAAATCTTAGGTCCCCCTTCCATTCCCATCCTCAGCGGAATTAGTCTCGTCCTGTAAAGATTGCTGTATTGTTCGAGTTGTCTCTTCTTATGTCTCTTTTTGTATCCTGTTTAGATCATGTATATCACTTGGAATTGGGAATCCAATAGTTGTGCATCGACCGCCGTCATACATCTAAAGCTTAATTCACTCCCAACCTGTTAATAACCTAACGCACAGTTAAGTACACGGAACACCTTCCTGGCTACTTATCATCTTTAAGCTCTGGTACTGGATCTGTCCAAGAGAAAAGGTCCGCCGGGACATCTGAAACCCCGCTCGTCGAAGACCACAACTCTCCCCCATCCCCCACCGTCGCAGCAGCAGCAGCAGCGCCACCAGCACTCCCCATCCCATGCCCCGCCCCCGCCCCCACCCTCCACGAACCATCCCCACCCCCCAAAAACCCTTCCACAAACCTCACCCTCTCCTCCAACAGCCTCATCCTCGTCTCCTGCACCTCGTTCAACCTTGTGAGCGCCTGGACGGATTGTTGGCTTTGGGACAGTTCGAGGGAGAGGGCGTCGTTGGCTGATTGGAGGGAGGTGATGGTTTCGTTCTTTTTGCGGCGGGAGAGGAGGACTGCGTCTCGGTCTGTAGTGTATATGCGTCAGTTCGCATGCTACGCCCCAGCTCCTGCCAGCGAAAAATAAAAATAAAAAATAAAACGAAGAAGAAGAAGAAGACCAGGAAACAACGAAACAACAAGGAGGAAATTAGAAAGAAACCCGAAACTCACTCCCGAGAATGCGCCTCACTTCTTTCTCTTCCTGCGTCTTGTCCGCTTTCGCCGTCAACGCTTGCAAACTGTTATTATACCGGCTCATCACGCGTGAGATCATATCATCAATCTCTGACCGGCGGCTGGCATTGACGCCTCGCGATTTTTGGACGCCAGCTGAGGTGACTCCTTTTGGTTTGCTTGTGCTATTTGTACGCTTGGTTGAAGTGGCGGTGGTGGTGGTGGTGGCGGTAGAGGCAGGGCTGGATCTGGAAGACTGTTCACCCCTTACTGGACGGCCGCAGGTGGTGCTGGTCATAGAAAAGTTACTACGGGGAACGACGGTGATGGGTGGGATAGGGATAGATCGTGTATCGCTCTTCTCGTGATCGAATCGATTCCAAAATGCAGGACCTGTTTCTTCGTCTCCTTCTTCACCACCGTCACCACCGTCACCGGCATCACTGCAAGTACTGAAAGGACTAGTATTCAAATGGGGAGGATTTTCGGGATCATAGCTTCCTTGTAGTTGGGATAGTTTGTCTTTCTGTTTTGGTTGTCCTGTCTCATCTGCTTCTTGGATGTTTGCCAATAAGGAAGGCGATATGCCCATAGCCCCAAAACTCTTCAGATTTTCGACATCTACTGTACCTCCACCACCCTGGGCCGACCACAATGGATCGCCGTAGATTGGATATCGATAGTCTTGCTGCCATGACGAGGAAGAAAGAGAAGTGGTAGACTCCATTCCGAACGATGACGATGATGGACCTAGAGGGGCAAGGTGGTCGTGTGTAAAGCTCTGGGAAAGAGATTCAGTCATTTTTTTTTTTTGTTCCGGGTTTACGTTGTTTTGGTTTGGTGTTGTGAATGCGTAGGAAGAGAATCAGGGGTTGATGAAGGAAGCGGGGCGAGAAAGAGATGTGAGAATGACTTTTCGTAAAGACAAGAGAATAATCTATATACGTACTGTGACACCGCCCAATCACCCCCGCCAGTCCTCCCTTTTCTTTAGTCCAACCTCCGACAATAGTCCCTCTCAAAAGGAACCTGCCAAAAGCAAGGATACTTTCCATTCATCTCACCATCGTCTAGACGATACCCCGTCCACCCTCGGCAGCAGGTTTATTTATATCCGATGGGGCGACGACTCTCCTTTTACGCATCATACATACGGATATGTACCACAACAACACGTTACAGCTTGGTACGGATTAGTATCACGCGTCATCTGCGGATACTCGACGGGCATGTGGAGGGAATAGGTGGGTATGGGCATGACCGGGGCCAGGCTCTTGAATTCATGACACATTTGCGTCCCATATTGAGGCCGAATCAGATGCTGGAGCTGAAACAATGTCAAAGGCCTCCCGGTCGATACATTGCCGCCACAGATCAATATGGAGACGCGAGTGAGACGAGGACAATATGCTGTTACAACCATTGCGATCGCGTCATATCATCCTTTCTCTACCCAAATGCAATACTACGCGACTGCTGAATCTTCCGGCCTCATACTGACTCCCTGGTATTGGCTACTATTGACAGCACCGCCTGTCTATCCTTGCATAGTACAGTATTCAAGGGTGTGGTGCACGCATGGTATCTCTGGAATGAGACGGGGAATGCTATCGCCGATATCGTATATGGAAACACCGACCCCTCGGGTCGACTGCCGTTGACGTTCCCAAAGAGAGAGATTGATATCACCGCTCACCTGAACGCGATATCGGCGAGGACAAAGGTTCATTACGAAGAAGGCATCTGGGTGTGATACAAACACTTCAACGCCCGGATTATCGAGCCGCTCTTCCCCTTCGGCCATGGACTCTCATACACTTCCTTCTCATACACCAAACTTCACATCTCCACCCTTTCTCCAAAGAAGATGAAGGAAGTCAGAGCGGACCGGTGGAAAGTCGAGGTAGAGGTTGATGTGAAGAATGAAGGCGAGCGAGAGGGGAAGCATACGGTACTATTCTTTTTGACGCCGCCAGAGGAGACGGAGACGGTGTTGAAGCACCCAGAGTGGACTTTGCAAGGGTTTGAAAAGGTCGAGCTGGAGGCGGGGGAGACGAAGACGGTCAAAGTGGTGTTTGACAAATGCACGTTCTTTAATCCTCTTGACACTCTCCGGGTACATGCTAATTCATTTTCGTAGACGCGGTATCTCACTGGGACGAGCTCTGGAACACTTGGCGCGCCGAGCTGGGCGAGTGGACAGTGAGGGTTGGGGTTGATGCTGGAAAGATGTGGGAAGGAGAAGAGGCAAAGTTTAAGATTGAGGATGAGCTCGAGTGGAGGGGGTTGTAAGAGTCGAAGATTGCAGTTGCCCAAACAGATGTAGATGTCCTTGTACACTGGATGTACAGTAGTCGTACTTGAACTCGATTCAGCATATACTGGTCTGTAAAGCACCACAACGAGCTTAGCTTCTTTCGGCTCTGCTACATCTCGCAAGATACGTGTCCCTACTTGGGGATAGCGCCTTTGAATCGGTTTCTTTCCACACCCGTGAACCCCAAGCCCTTTACGACAAACAAATCGCCTCCATCTTTACGCTCCGCAATGTTGTCGGGCTGGTCGTCTGTCAAGTCTGAGGCCGCCGAAGTAATATACAGCTCATCGAGCTTTTCGCCTACTCCCCATTAGCTCCACGTCCACCCACAGCTCATGACAAAGAAGGAGCTGAAAAAAGCGACGTACCTCCAAAGATAAGACATGTCATGTTCCAAGCACTCGGAAAGTCAATCTCGACGTCAATCTCTCCCTCTGGCGTGAAGCGCAGCACTTTGCCAGCGCCAAATCGGGCGGACCAGACGCCGCCCTCGGTGTCCATGCACATGCCGTCGGGGAAGCCGAGCTCTTTGGTGTCGACGTTGCTGAAGATCTGGGGGTTGGAGAGTTTGCCAGTAGCCTGGAAAAGGTATCAGTTGTATGTACGTGGAATGAGGTGGAGGGTGATAAGGAGGCTTACGAGGTCGTAGTCAAATTTCTTGATGGTTTTGATCCAGCTATCGGTAAAGTACCTGCAAGGCTCATGAGCCTCGACCAGTGCGCTAAGGGAGAAGAGAGCTCACAAAGACTTATTATCATCTGTCCACCCCATACCGTTCGTACATGTAATCTTATCCAACACCAACGGCGCAGAGTACTTTCCTTCTTCACCCACTTGGAAAGAGTACATTCTCGAGTTCACGTCGCCTTTCTTAAAGCCCATCGTTCCTGCCAAGAACCGGCCAGCTGGATCGACAGCACCGTCATTGAACCTCGACTCTCCTGCGGTCAGGACGACCTGTGTACTGGGGGTAGGCTGAGCGGGGATGAGGGACTGGAGTGATTGAGTTGGAGGGAAGGGGAGGTGAGTGAAGGGGATATAGGCAAAGCCGTCTTCGACCGCCGCGATAAGCTGTCATATATTGTCAGCTAGCTGCGCGTAGAGAACCGGGAGAGACACTCACACCATCGCCATTTTCCAAGAGAGCAAGGGCAGTGATGTTCTTCTCAAACAGCTCATATCCGCGCTTGCCTGACGAAGGCTCATAGGTGAATACCTTGTTTTGTTCGATATCGACAAAGTAGAGGCGCTGGCCCCGGGAGTCCTTCGGATGATCATTAGCTCAGTTTCCGAGACTGATATGAATTGATGTACCCAAACGCATCCTAAAGAGGCCAAGTCTTCTCAGCAACCGGCTTATCTACGGCCACCTTTCGGTAGGGGCACGCACGCCCTTGACTTACCTTCTCCGAGGGTGTTCTGGACTTTCAAAAGCGACTCTTCGACGACGATTTTCTTGACCATGGCTGTTGACTGTAGTTGAGGGGGAGAGTTGGTGATCAGAAAGACGCTGGAAGATGTTGCAAAAGTCGGTTCAAGCAGCGCGGAGAGTGGACCGGAAGTTCGGCTCTCCGGATCGATGACGCCGCGTCGGACAAGGCCGCCACACACCGCCACAAGCTTATGGTGGCCGTCCAGTGGCCGTCCCGCAACCGTCCCGGCGGACGAAATGAGAGCAGTCAGTCCAGAGTCAGTCGCATGCATCACGTACGGTGCATAGCTGCATACGGGCCCTTACTTCCCTTTGCCGAGTATGTCGTTTATTGCCGAAATGAACGACGTGTATAGTCGCCAGTTTTGATGTATAGAGGCTGATTGACCTGCCGGCAATCATGATGCTTCTTTTTGCTCATTGCCGCGACAGGGTAATCATCAAGAGGTCGCAATCAACGTGTATCCTTCCAGTCTTCTGCTTCTCGGATCAGAACCGAGACTATCTCAGTGAGGCTTTCTAGGTCGCTGCCGGGTGGCAAAGGGTGACAAGACGAGACAAGACGTATTCATTTGAGCCCTTTGAGTGAGTGTTCTCGAGTGTCTCGTGTCAGACAGAAAGCAGCTACATACGACAATTGAGCATACACTGCCATATATTGCCGGTATCATGGCCGGTCAATGTTGTTGTTAAGAAACATTGGCGGATATTTGCTATGATGCACCAGGGGGAAGATGTTTCTTCTCTCGCTATACACTATTTTCTACGTTACGATAGCGTATCCCGTCAGGGTTACACTAGTCAGCCAAGACACCCTTGTAAGATGGGTTTCACTGAGTAAAGTAATCCAGAAGACCTACACTACAGGTCACCTGCTCGCATCTCGTTTCTTGTTTCGGGTGTGCCAAACCGGTAGCTCCCTTGCACCAAGGACAGCAGTAGTAGGCGCACCATAATACGCCCTTGATTCGATAGTAGATGTGTGTGGCCATTATACCTTGAGTTGGTCTGAAGATGATGATATGTTGATCGAGCGTACAACAATGAGCAAGTGCAGGATATGTTAGATCTGGCGCTGGTGGTAGGTACTACAAAGAAGGCACAGAGTGGGCAAATGACAAGCGGTCAACAGCGAGAGTTCATGCTATATAGCGTCCCCGGGTAATCAAACTGCATATACCACCATGCGTTTCTCTTTGCCGTAGCAGCCGCATGTGTTGAGCCAACAAGTAAGCATCCCAACCCAGTGGGATCATACATGCAGGTCGGAGCATTTCCTTACTCCTCCGTCGGCCACATCAAAGCTTGTCCGTCAACCAAAACATATGTTGAGGCATATTTGAGCACCTCGCAAGTCTCAGCGCAGCTATGGGCACGTCAAACATGCTTCAACGTACGTGAACTTTGCCACGTTCAACACACGAGGGACGGTAGGCACGATACCACGTGGCTGACTTGCTTCAGCTCTATCTATACGAGTGTACAACGCAGTCATCTGTGACTTTTTCTTCGCTCTTTTACTATGTCAATAGGTGTCACGCAATGATACAATCCCCAGACATGTGCCTTCATGCTATCGTACTCTTCACTATCCCATCATCCCTTTGTCAATCATTCCACTCTTATCATCGATATACAGTTAGATCATGTATTGCATGCAACTTCGATTCTGTCAGTATTCTCAAGTTTTTGGCTGGTCCACACTAGTCGTGGGATTGTATGTCGTTATATCTATATCTTGCGTTAATAAAGCAGGGTCGATGCAGCTCGAGTCACTGATATTAGAGGCGCTCCAAAGATCATCGGGGCCTTGTGAAGGCACTCCAGGAAAGAACGAAGTTGATTCTTGCTGATCCCTGTTGCTGTAACTGGCAGCCCCTCTGTCAGAAAGCAAACTCTCCATCTCTGAGAGCCTTGACTGCAGTAATTCTATACGTTCTTCTCTCTCAAGAGCTCGAACGTCTTGCTCCTCGTTTGTCTGTATGAGCTCTCTTATGGTTTGCTTACAGCGAAGCAGTTGCGAAGCCAAATCTTCGTTGGATGACTCTAGTGTAGCTTGTTGCGTTTCCTTTTTGAGCCGCCAGTGGATGGATGATTTTCTATCTACGACCGAATATGAACGGATCAGAATACCGTCGGATCACGTAGCAATGTCGAACTGTAAACGACATGATCAGACTCACTGACGAGAATACGACGAACTTGTTTCTCTTCTGGAGTCTTATCCTTTTTCCCCACCAGCTCTTCTACCGTGCTGTAATTACTCATAACACGATCGATTTTGAGAGCGATCTCGGGGTTTGGATGACTGACCAGCGCAGGCTTCCAACGCCTCCGTCTTCTTCCACTTAGGGTTGTGGATAATAATGACGATGAAACACCAGAATTATCTCCCTTATCCCCCCTCTCGTCGGTGGACCATGGCAGTTTGAAGTGGGTTGGCCCCGACGAGGATGGAAGACTCTGATCGACATTAGACGGGAGAGAGTGGTGGTGGTAGAGATTCTGGGATGATTCTTCCTCGTCGGACATCGCGATATTTCCTGCGAAGAACACTGGTCCAGGGAGCGGTGAGGGCTTGTTCTATCACATTTTCACTTCATCGAGAAACTGAAAGTAGATATAGTAATCCCCACATCCATTGAACGAGCTGTGGCGGATCTTTCTTCCCACGACGACGCAGACGACCTTCCGCTCACAACATCCCCTTTTCTCACGACATCTCATTTTCCCGCGGTTGACCAATCCTGACTCGGACCACACGGTGATTGCATCTCTCTAACTGTTGGATCATATCACGTGTCTCCGACAAATGGTCCAGGCGATTAGAGATGGTAGTAGGGCAAGTTCCCTTGGGTCTACTGAGGCACTCCCTCACGGCCGTGGTTCTTGATTGTTGAAAAGTAAGACACCTCTATGGTACACTCGCATTCTTTGTAGACGTTTTCCATTGTCAATTTTTTATAGACCGCCCCCTCACCTATTTCGGGGACATTGCGGTAGGAGGCTTCAAAGGAGATACTTCAATCCAGCCTCCGAGGGAATGCTAGGCACGGTACCACGTCAACTTTCATGTCGTTATCTCCTCTTCATCTCTTCCGCTGCTATCTCTCCTTCTACTGCGCATACTGCTCCAACCAACGTTTATTCCATCCAGTAGAGTCTCCAGGTATGGGCTCTATCGCTTGGCAGTGTCGTCTGTAGTTGATGGGCTTCTGCTAACAGTTCCCTAGTCCCACAGCCTATGCACCTTAATCTCTCTTCCCCCCAGTATCCATCATCCGAGCTCCCCACGCGCGCACACAATGGATCCACATGTTTCGGGCCAAGTAGGTAGCCGGGTAAATCCACTGGTAATAGACATGAAAGACTTCGAAGTATGGCGTTTCAAGGTGACAAAGCCGAAAGCCACCCAACCTTCTAAATAGCGGCGCTCTCGACTTGTACAGTAGAGTACTCTACAGGTATACATGAGAACGGACTTCGACTTTCTACAAGCCTGCGCATACCTCCTCGGCACGCCCGGATCATCCGCCCCCATATAGATACTCTCAAACGCCTCAAACATGCAGTATCCTACCCCGACCCCGTCAGTCTTTCTCTCTTTCATATCTAGGAGTACTCACCCCGCCAGCCAGTGCTGAATATCGACTTGAGCGTCTCCACCACCCTCGCAGCGTCACTCTCCCCAACCTCGCTCGCCCGCTCCTCCTCACCATCCCCCTCTCCTGTCCCCCCATTCGGCCCCACAAGCGGTACATGCCTTGCATAAAACACCCACTTCCCCCTTGCATTCTTTCCCTTCCCATACCCCTTTTCATCTTCCCTCGCTGACTCGTCGAATTTGGATCCCCCATAAAGGGGTGGTGAGGGCTGGAGCACGTCGGAGAGCTCGAGGTAGAAGATCTTGTCTTTGGGGAGGGTGCGGAGGCGGGAGAGCATGGAGGTGTATTCGGGGAGGGACCAGCCGTTGCCGGTGAGGGGGTCCCAGCCGTATGTTGGGGAGAGCGCGAGTTGGGCGGTGTCGAGGCAGAGTCCGAGGTTTGGATGGTCCCTTTCATACCATCAGCTTTTCGCACTTTCGAGCGAGATCCAGATGGACTTACAGCAAGCTGGACAATTTTGTAGGTATACTCCCAGTCGCCTCGCAGGTCACCAAAACACCAGCATTCGTATGCAATCTTGACCGGTGGGTCTTGTTTCGCGCCGAGGTCTGCGAGCCAGCGCATGTCGGAAGCCGTTTTTTCGTCGTCTGCAGTAGCGTCTTTCCTATCATTCGCACCGACCTATTTCACCCTGCTATCAGCTCTGATCTTCTCTCTGAAGAAGACGGAAATGGAGCAAACGCACCTGTAAAAACTCCACCCCGAGCTCCGCACACAACCCCAACCACCTTTCCGCCTTCCTCCTCGACCACTCCTCCCTCTCATGTCCCTCTGGCCATCCTTCAAAATGGGGCAAAGGCTGGAGCACGATGACTTTGAGACCATACTGGTTGGCGAGGGCTGTGAATTTGGGAGCGAAGGTGGAGAGGGCGGCCCAGATCTCCGAGTCGGAGGGGTCTGGTTCGCTGAATTCGGCCCATGCTGGGGGACAGGTGGATTCGGGTCTCCTCAGTTTGTCAGCTGGTTTTCCTGCCTCGTTCCAATAGAAGGTATGAATCGAACTTACAGCTCCGGCTTCTGCTGCCTCACCCACCCAATATAATCCGCCGTCAACACCTCGCAATACCTAAATCCCGCTTTCTGCAGCTCTTCAAATTTCTGAACAAACGTATGTGAAGGGTGGAGACCGAGAAGGGCGGATGCGACGCCGAATTTGAGGTCGCTATCAAGGTTCTCGAGGCGGGTGGACATGGTGAGTTGGTGTTGAGAAGAGATTGGGATGCGCTGTGCATGTGTTATATACCCATGATGCATCGCCTTGCCGTGTGCAGCTGACAGTACCCCACCATCCCAGATTCCCAGGACCAAGTCAGCTGCAAACTGTAGAACGGGAAAACGAAAGTGATGATGAGAGGATGACAGCTTGCGGCAGGCCCCGCTCTCCCACGGTGTCGCAACGTCCTGGTGGAGAGGGGGTGGTGCTGGGCAGCGTGATTAGTCTATGGTCTTTCCCCGTTCTCGTTCACAAGTCACACTCGAGGCTTGCTTTGATCATTATATATGCATTTTCATTTGTCGATACACTTGTACGAGTACCACCCATAAAATCCTATCCACACGTCCTGCAAACGCTCCCCGCCCTCACCGCAATATGAGGGGCAAATAACGCTCCAAGTAGCACGCCCAATCTCTGGAAGGGAAAAAAGTAAATGTCAACAAAGAAACGGTTATCGCATACTCAGGCTAGACGCCTTCTCTCTCGGTTCCTCCAAAGTAGGGAAAGAGGAGTTTACCGGCCACGGGTGTTGAGGGCTTTGGCTTCTCGGGCAGCCTGTCTCTCGGCAATATCGACACCCACAAGCTAATCACCCCATCAGCCTCCCTTCCTTACCCTCGCTCGATTTAAAAAAACTTACAATCTTACTAGCCTTCCAAAACTGCACTACATTAATAATCTGCTTTCCCGCACAGATTGGGAACGTCAAGAGCGCCACCACCTGCGGCCAAGTGACATTCTTCACCGCCTGTACGAGGCCGCCGATAAGCTTTGGGTGGGCGATGGCGAGGTCGGACGTGAGGAGGGAGGTGGGGATGGGGATAGAGGAGAAGACGGGGGAGGTCCAGTAGTAGTTGAGGTAGAGGCAGACGAAGAAGAGTTCGTTGGCGAAGCAGAAGACGAACAGGGTGCGCTGTAAGTTGTTAGGGTGAGGAGATGGTGAAAGGAGGGGAGGAGGGGCGTACAGAGTCGTTGTAGTAGTACCAGAGGATACGGGAGACATCCTGAGTCACAGTCTTGTGGCTAGAGGAACCCGTGGCCAAGGAGCTACGGCCTCGTCAGCATCGTCGGCAAATGAGTTGTGGTTTTACGTACGAGTACATGTGGATGTAGTGGGAGGAAAAGTCCAGGGTGATGAGACCCATGAAGATCATAGAGTACGCAGGGTACACGCTCGAGAGAAAACACAGCAGACAAGCAGTAGTGCATCTACGCGCCCGTCGGGCATTAGTCAGCGACCGCCGGGAAAGCAGACCGAGGGGAACTCACCGGTCGGTGACCATATCAAGCACCGCGCCAAATTTGCTCGTCTGTCCGAGAGCTCTGGCGGCTTGGCCATCGACGACGTCGAGGAGGCAGGATACAGAGTAGAGGACAAAGCACGCCTTAGGGTGGTAGGGCATGAAGAAGAGGGCGGCGGCGGCTGTGATGACACGGGTGTAGCCGATTAGGTTTGGGACGAAGAGGAAGACATTCTCGTCGACACTAGAGTATATATCAGTATGGGCGAAATTACAAGACTTCTAGACTCACGTTGTAGTCCTGAATGGCGCCAAGGAAAGAAAAAGGATGGTCAGCACAGCGTCTCGGCGGGCAAATTTCATGTCGTGCGACACTCACGCCAGATCCACCGCACTGCATATCGAGTCAGCATTTTCATCTGCACCATATCCTTGAACAAGCACTCACTACTTGGGGTCCCAAACCTCGTCCTCTCGGCTCCTGCTGCCGTCCCTCGGTCTCTGCTTGACGTTGCCGGCTCCGAGGGGGCTCGGGGAGTAGGAGGTGGAGGTGGAGGCGGTGGGCTCTTCGATGGTGATCTCGGGGGCGGGGGTGGAGGGCTTGGAGCGGGTCGCGGGTGCCATGGTGGAGATGGGGGATGGAAATATATTGATTGTTGACAGAAAAGGAAGAAGAAGTGACGAAGGCCCGCCGAGCGCCGAAGAAACCTCGGCCACGCGTCTCGGAGCTTACGTAAATTGGCATCCGTGGGAATCTGATGCCTGCTCTTGGATCTGTTCCTGAACACAACCACTGAAGTATATGTATACGGTCGCCTACTGTGGCATATGTTACATTTTGGTCCCGTGGCGGACACCGCGGACATGAGATTTCTTTGGAGGACTCCCTTTCATATCAGTATCTTGCCCTTCTTCACATCCTTCGGCACCACCTTCTTCTAATCATGTCCCGCCAGTGCTCTCGGTGCCGCGACTCCCTCCCTTCCGAGGAAACCCACGCTACATGTGCAACGTGTCGCTCTCGTGCAGCCCAGCAAATCAGCCAAAAACGTGCTGCGCTCAAAGAGGCTGCAGCACTGTTGCCAGACAATGAACAGGTGCGCAGTGTCCATAGTAACGCCGAACTGACAATCGATGCCAGCAATCCCGTCGCCGCCCAACTACCGCCACCATGGCCCCTGCAAACATGCCCTTTTCGTCCATCAACATCGAAGCCGCGGTCATCGACGACGGCGCCGAAGGCTACGCCGACGACAAGCTGCCTGCAGCTGGGGAAGCGGACGGCGTAGTAGATGGGAGCGATGGGGAGGAGGAGAGCTGCGGAGTAGAGGTGAGCGATGGGGAGGGGGAGAGCGAGCCGCGCGACTATGGTGCCCTCCTGCTCGCTCGCGAAGCTGAAGAGGAGGGGAATAGGACACGGCTTGCTCTGGAAGAGCAGACTAGCCTCATCGACCTCTTCACTCGCTACGCAGAGCTCCTCGGCACTCAAGACGCTCCAGACCGTGACGCTATGTCCAAGCTGTACAGACTTGCTCAGCCGCTGAGGACGCAGTTGGAACTGATGGAAAAGGCTGTCGTCGACGAGCACGAGGGGAGGTCGATTGCACAGAGGGTGCTGAGAAAGATGGCGAAGGTGAAGGGGTTTAACGCGCTGGCAGCGTTGACCAAGGGGTATGGGGAGAAGTGGCTGGGGTTGAAGTGACTGGATTGCAGGTGAGTCAGCTAGACTGGACGGGTGACGAGGATGGACTGGGGGCCAGGTGGTTGCCAGGTGGGGGGGGGAAAGCGGTATGCATGTACGAGTACAGTACAAGTACAAGTACGGGGTGATTACGTATGCATGGCTATTCCTGCTGAATTGGTCCTGGCCTAGTCTGGCCTAATAAATGAACTGTAAACTGCCGTGTCCGATCCCCAATGAGTCAATGACCGTGTCCGCAACGGAAGCAAAAATGCAACAAAAAACCACAGTAGAGCACCCGTTCGGAACAGAAAAGCCCAAAGCTTGCGAATGATGCCGTCATCTCACTCGGGCGATGCCCAGCACTGGTTGTGGGAAGAGTGTACTCGAGCATTTCAGACTTTTTGCATGTCCGACCTGGTTGGTTCACCGACTTACCTATTGCGGATGCATCCTCACTGGGCCTAGAGGGCACGCTGGGGCCTCGGGCGGCAGATGGGGTACGAGGTTCGAGATCGAAGCGGGGGAGGTGGTGGTGAAGCCACATGAAGACATTTGCGGGCGGGCGTGGATGGGCGCTCATCGAGAGCAGTGAAGTGACTGGTGAGGCCGAGGAGAGAAAATGAAAGACCGAGGAATAGTGGAATAGTTGCTGATCGAGCGCGAACAACAACAGCAGGCAGGCGCCGCAGCAGCAGCAGGGCGTGGGAATCTCGGCGCGCGCCGTTCCGCGAAAGCCCCAGGCCCGACCCAGGCCTCAGCTGGCTGCAGTGCATCCTGGTCATCTTCACGAAGGAAGAGTCAGAATCATTCAACATGGCCCCAAAGACACACTCAAGAACACAATCCACCAACACCCCCGCGCCCCTCCCCAGCACCCGCACAAACCCCATCTCCCTCCGCATCTACAAGGCCATCGGCACTTCCTTCGACGATGCCGACTCGCGCGAAGCACTCCAGATCGCCTCGTCCATCTATGCCCCGCAAGAGCCGAAAGGGAAATCAAGAGCGATCGATGCCGAGGCAGATGAGGGACAAGAAGAGGAGGAAGGCTTACCGAAGAGACGGACGCTGAAAGGACAGAGCGCAGCAACCGCGCGCAAGTACCTGAAGCGAGATGTAGAGTCGAGCCTGGCAGCTGGGAGCTTGAAATTCCTCGAGGCTTTTGAAGAGGTTGACAAGGTTTGTCTTGTGCCTTTGAAACTGAGTCGATCTGACATGGCGGCAGAACCTAGGGACGGTACGCGAACAGATGCAGGAAATGCAGATCCGCTGCGACCAAGTCCAGTCCGAATTGGATCAAGCCAACAGCGGTACAAAATTCCTACTCGAACGGGCAGACGGCCTACGTGCTCAGCGGTACGCTCTTCCCATTTCATCTGCGATCGTTGGCCAAGCTGATGTTGTCTCAGTGCGTCGGCTGAATTACGAGCTCATCTCATAACTCTCTTTCTTGCCCGCTTCACGCTTTCCGAGCATGAACAAGCCGCACTCTCTTCGCGGGATATCAGTATAGGACAAACGCTATTTGAAGCGCTCGACCATGTCGAAAAGATCCGAGAGGACTGTACGGTATTGCTGGGCGGAGAAGAAGGTAAAGCTCAGGCAGGGTATGTCCTCTCTCGGATCCTTGGTTCGCGCGAGAACTGACAGTATAACGCAGGATGGACATCATGACGTCTACTTCCCAACAGCTAGAAGCGGGGTACGCCAAGGTCCACAGATGGTGCCAGTTCGAGTTCCGCCAGTATACGAGGGAGACACATCTGGAAGTGTCGCCCATCATGCGAAAAGCGATCGTACGCCTGCGCGATCGTCCCTCATTACTCAAGTAAACTTCACTCCTTCCATTGCTGATTTGACATCCGCTCATGAGGTCTGTAGTGATGCGCTCCAAACGTTGACGTCGACCCGCCACGCCTCCCTCTTACACCAGTTCCTCACAGCCCTGACCATAGGCGGCCCCGGCGGTCTTCCGCGCCCTATAGAACTGCACGCACATGACCCGCAACGATACGTCGGTGACATGCTTGCTTGGGTACATCAGACGACGGCGAGCGAGGGAGAATTTTTAGATGGAGTGTTTGGCGTGAGTAGAGGGAAGAGGATGGTGGGGCAGGAAAGAACGCAGGGGGAGGAGGATGGCGAGGAGAAGGGGGAGGAGAAGATGGCGAGGGAAGTGTTGGATAAGAACCTTGAGGGGTTGAGTCGGCCATTGAAAGTGAGTTTATCATTATGACCTTTGGCGTCAGAGTCTGACATTCTGCAGCTGCGAATCCAGCAGACGATCAAGTCTCAAGAGGGCACGATCATGTCGTACAAGATTGCCAACCTTGTGCAATTCTATCTCGTTACTATGCGAAAGACTATCGGCTCTGGGGCGCAATTGTGCGAGACTTTACAAGAGTACGTGTCATTGTTAACGATGGCAGATGTTGGAGAAGTTGGTCGATAAAGAGAAGAGGCAAGAGCTCACACAGATAACAGAATCCACGACGCAGCATACACCACATTCTACGAAACCCTCGACGCCCAAGGCCGCGCCCTCCTCCGCTTCCTCCACGCCCCTGACAACACCCTCTCCCCACCGCCTTCTCTCCGCGAAGCCGCCCTCATCCTGCGCGAACTCCTCACCGTCCACTCCGCCTCCCTCCTCGACCCCGCCGACCAAGCTTCCCAAGATGAAGTCGACAAGCTGCTGGATAAGGCGGTGGGGCCTTGTATTGAGATGTGTGAGCGGATGGCGGAAATGAGAAGGAGTGCGGTGGGGAAAGGAGGGGGGGGAGAGTGGGAGAGGGATGTGTTTATGGTGAATTGTTTGGGGTATTTGGAGCATACCCTGGAGCAGTTTGAGTTTACGGGCAAGATGTTGGATGGGCTGGATGAGAGGATTGGGGGACATGTGGAAGCGATGGCGTTTGAGCATGTAAGTGAACTTTGGGTTCAAAGTGGAATGGGTGCTGATCATGGATAATGAGCAGCATGGCAAATTGTTGGAGCAGTGTGGTTTGGCACCGGTCATGCGAGCGATCCGTACAAGACCAGCAGACGTAAGTCTTCCCTGGGAGACTCAGCAATCGAGCTAACGATGATTCCAGACACCCCTCTCACGCCTCCCAGCCACATCCCCAAAACCCCTCACCTCATCCCTCTCCACATTCTCCACCTGGCTCTCCACCATCTCCCCCTCCCCCTCCTCCTCCCCCCGTCTCTCCCTCCTCTCTTCCCCCCGCCTCGCAGAGGAGATTCACAGGAAAGCGTTGCGCAAGATATATGAAGCGTATGGCGAGGTTTGCGATCGGGTGTTGGACAAGGGGGAAGGGTATGAGTTTGGGGAGACGATGTTGAGGAGAGGGAGGGAAGAGGTGGGTGTTGCGTTGGGTGTTGGGGAGGAGTGGGTGAGTCAGGATGAGGAGGGAGAGGGGGTGGGTGGAGAAGGAGAGAAGGGCAACTAGATGGTGATGTACATGGTCTTTTGTTCGGCGACATGTATATTATCCTGTCAGAAGCGATATCAGGAGGTGCATCCTCAGGTATTCGACCGGGTCATTTCCGATTATGTATCCTGCACTCACTGACCCAGCTCTGGCAACTCCTGTCCCTCGGTATAATCATCTCTTCTAGATGACGATGATACGCCTGACGCGTTTGCAAGGTCGGCATGCCCCAACTTTCGGATTCCCAGAGACGGCGGCCATCGTACTGTGGAGCCTGCGCTGAAAGGCAAACTCGACCCGTCTACGTCGTTGGTAAAAGATGGGGGGTGGGATCCGTTCGTGTGCCATATGGGGTTGATAGTCGGCGACATCCAAAGATTTTCTGGTGCTAATGTTTCCTCGGGCTCTTGCTGGTCCTGTTCCGACAGGACATGGTTAGTTTCCGAGTTGTTAGGTAGCTCCCGGGCCTCCCGGGGCTCTATCATCTCATGATGGCCAGCTTGCAGAGTCTGTTTCTGCGTATGCCCCCCACCGCGTTTCCTGTAAGCAGGATATCTACAAGATTCACCGGTCCCTGATTCTATACACGATTGGCATGAAGGACCACTACCGTCGTATGGGATTAGTCATCGTATCCTCGTCTACTTTCATGAACCAAGTTGAAGCTGTCTTACTCGTCATCATCTTGAGGTGGGACACATCTTCTCTTTCTTGAGCGGCACGGGATACATGCCAAACCTTTGGCGAGCTTGGAGGTCTGGGTAGAAGCTCTTTGCGGTTGGCTTGATAGTTCTGATGAGGGCAATGAAGAAGCGGAAGTGGTGGCGGCGCTTGTGTCTTGGAAAGACGACATGATGAGCAGTTGTCCTGTTAGTGGGCATGGTGGATGATTGTCATGCAAATCTATATACCAAATAGCCGCGCTACTGAGATGTAAATGGATCAAGGGAATATGCGCAGCTACGCGCACAAAGACCTTTTTGGGGGTAGCGATAGCATTGTCCGACAATGGATCATATTCAGAGACGGCCCGGAGTCTATAGGTGTTGTCGGAATGGAGAGCAGCATCTCCATTCTACTGAGGTCTTGGATGAATACCGTCAAAGGACGCTATCGTCAGACGAACGGAAGAAAAGTCGGCGAATCATGACTAGCGAGATGGCCCAGAAAAGCATCCTCCCAGAATGAGATCATCATACATCTAAAATTCGTACAGATCCGGCCTATCATGTCTCAAAGCGACCTTCGGTGCCTGATGGCTATGGTCATGCCCCGCATGCGAGTGAGAACCATGATCATGCTGATGCCCGTGACCAGCCCGAGCCCCATCACCAGCTTTCCCAACCGTGATAACCTCCTCTTCACCTCCAAATCTGACCCTCGCGCGCGGCTTGGACGCTTTCTTGGGCTTGTCTTGATCTGCGCCCTTCGGTCTTTCGTCGATTGGTATAGCCTCTGGTACTGGCTCAGGCGCGGGTGCAGGAGCAGGAGCCGCAGGCTCCACACCACCAACGAGCCCCGTTGTATGACTCGTCCTCGCATCGGCACCTTCCAAAGCATCACCCACATCACCTCCCGTCCGTCTCTCTCCCACACCCCCCTCAACACCCAAATGCACCGTCTCCACCACAAACCTCTTTCTCTTCAGCCTGAATCCGAGATTATTCTCGCCTGCGCCGCCGCCGCCGCCGGAGGATGATGATGAAGCGGATTGGGAGACGCCGAGGAGGGTACTGTGTTTGAGGGTAGAGGGGAGGAGGGTGTGGGAGGTTGGGTAGGAGTGGAGGGTTAGGAGACCGTGGGTTGGGAAGAGGGGTGGGAGAGTTGGGTCGTCTGGTTTCATGTTAGTAGCCGGATTGGGAGTGGAAGGGAGGACGTACCGGCAAAGCCCTTCAGCTCGACACAGGCGTCAACACCCCAAGACAAGCTTTTCACGAGACCTTCTCTTGCCTCGCCTAGCGCCACGAGGAAGCTTGCGGGCAGAGTCACAAGAGCGGAAGCGGGTTTCATTTTGAGCAGCTCTTTGAGCGAGTGGATGAATCGGTGAATCTCCTGCGTCGACCGTCAGACATGCACATATGACTCGGGGACAGCTTACGGGTATAGAGATATCTCCCCAGTCGAGACTGCCAAGTTCATGGATGGTGATCCTAGTAGCTCTGCCTTTTTGCGCAGACTCGAGCTGCTCCCAGACACCTTTCAGAGCATTGTCCAGAAGAGCCGACTTGTCGCTTTGGCCCGAAGATGTTGTAGGAACGTCAAGCACGTCCACGGGGACATAGCTGAGCTGTTTGGACTTTTTCATTGCTTCGAGCGCTTGAGGTGGGACCTGAGTCATTAGAGACAGGTTTGAGCCATTCCCTGAACAAAATCAGCTGCGATTCGAACACAAAGAGAGAGTGATACCTTTAACGGTAGTCTGAAACTTTGCCATATTCTCATATCTCCAAGCAATCTTCTTGTCCCCTCCCTCCAGACCTCCCTCCCCCTCACTCTCACTTCCATCACCATCCACCCCGCCTTCCACCCACATACAGCCTTGGACTACACTCTCAGCCTCTTGTTTCTCCCCGACCACTACGGCACTCTGGCCGGAAGTCAGACTCTGGGCGATCCAATACCTCTCTACAAGTCGTCCCCATGCAGACTGAGTGTCGGGGGCGAGGACGAGGAGGATAGAGTGGAGAGGAAGGCCGCCGCCGAGGAGATCGTCGAGCGATGGGAGGCCTGTTGGAAGGAGGGGCAGAGAGTGAATGGGGGATGGGGTGGTACCGGGAGGGGGTGGGTTTGCTTGGGGTATCCTCCGGGTGAAAGAGGGCATGGCGATGGTTTCCAAGAGCCAGTCCGCGCGATAGTGATGGTTTATCAAAAGTCTGAATAGTCGTCAAGTGTGTGCCGAAAAGTGGAGGCGAACGGCGCCGCGGAATCATATCGTTTCAGCTTTACGTAAGCCACAAACGCGTCCAACGCGACGCGTTTTTCGACCATTGATGTTTTCGACATTGTCTATCAAACTCACACCTCCATCTTGAACGCGATTCGCAATGAGCGGTGAAGAACCTGACTTTGAGCCCACCGGTATCTTCGACTTTGACCTCGAATTGCCAGCCAAGGCGCCTGAACCTGAACCCGCAAACGCCATCAACGAAGACACAGCCGCGCCTCTGCACGAGCAAGATACCAATGGCGCCTCCAGACCAAGGCCTGAGCGACGCCCGAGTCCTCCACGGATGCCTACGCCGCCTCCCGACTTTTTGGGGGAAGAAGAGAATTGGGAAGATCAGTTGGCCCAGGCGGAGCTCGAGTTTGATCTGGCTGGATTAGAGTCGCCGCGTCGAGAGAATGCGAGTGGAGGTGGGGGTGGTGGTGGTGGGGAGGAGACTGGGGCTGGGGACGAAGATGAGTTTCTCGATGCTGGCATGTTTGACGATTTCGACGGACCTGTCGCTTCTTGTAAGTCATCCTTCACGATCCCATATCAGAGCACTGACATTCGCCAGCTTCTCGAGTCACCCTCACACCCCCACCTCCAGTCTCGCACGCAAGCACCTCTCGCGCGAATGCTGTACCACCACCTCCTGCTGTGAGAGAAAGAGAGCCTGTCAGCAGCTTGGTCGAACCCAGTATACCTTGTCCCCTACCTTCCTTGCCCGCGGCTACAGCCGGTGGGAGGACGGTGTTTTTCAAGAGACGGTGGCGTCTTGAAGCTGCTTCCGCCCAGGTAATAAACCAAGCTCCCCTTTGAGAAGGAGATAATGTTGACAATGGTATAGTTGCTGCAGTTGAGAGGCGGCAAGGCTGATGCCGGTGAACTACTGACCGTGCCCCTGCACAAGCTTTTACAAGAAGTGGACGAGCTCAAGTCGCGCGAGAAGGCCTTAAAGTACGACATATTTTATGTTTGTCTGATCATCGCTGACACACATGCAGGCTTCAGGATAAATATGACAAGGAGCGCGAGGGCTCAAGGAAGGTCAAGACAGGCGATTCCATGTGGGTAGACAAGTACCGACCCAAAAAGTTTACCGACCTGCTCGGCGAAGATGTGAGTACCTTCAACCGCCGAACTACGACAAAAGACTGACATGATCCCAGCGAGTCCACCGGGAGGTCATGTCCTGGCTCAAAGAATGGGACAAATGCGTCTTCAAAAAGGTCCCTCAAGCCGGCAAGAAACGCCGCTTCGACGACTCTTTTGAACAATCCGAATACACCGACGCCCTCGGCCGTCCCCGCGAGCGTGTCATACTCCTCTCTGGTCCTCCCGGGTACGGCAAAACCACCCTCGCCTCCATCGTCGCCCAACACGCAGGCTACAAAATCCTGGAGATCAACGCTTCCGACGAAAGGTCTTACCAGACAGTGCATACGAGGATTCGGAGTGCGATCGAGGTGGGGACGGGGTTGGGGAGTGGGGGGAAGCCGACGTGTGTCGTTGTTGATGAAGTGGATGGGGCTGGGGGGGCGGAGAGTGGGTTTGTTAAGGCGTTGGTCAAGTTGATACAGGATGTGCCTGCTAGGAAGAAGAGTGGGTAGCTTTCTGTTCGGCTTTGGAGGGAGAGCTGACGTCAAGTAGCGAATACCCCGGCCAAGCCTCTTCGACGACCCATCATACTTATCTGTAACGACCTCTACGCTCCAGCCCTCAGACCACTCCGCCCATACGCCCGTATCATCCGCTTCAAAAAGCCCCAGGCCCAGTCTTTGGTAGTGCGCCTGAAAGAGATTTGCAGCAAAGAAGGTCTTCAGTCGGACAGCCGATCGCTCAATAGCTTGGTCGATATCACGAGCGGGGATGTCAGGAGCTGCTTGAACACCCTTCAAGTAAGTCCCCAAAAACGACTGTTGACAGACAGGGCTGACCCTTGCCCAGTTTATCAAATCACGCTCCAACGCCGTCACAGAAGAGATCGTCCGTGCCACCTCCCTCGGGCTGAAAGATACCAGCACCACCCTCCAATCCGCCTGGTCCGCCCTCTTCATCCCCCTCCCCGCCAAAAAACGTCGTGCCCGAGGAATCGACTCTGAGCGTTACCTCCCCCGCCTCATCCCCATCATCCAATCCTGCGGCGAGTACGATAAAGTCACCCAGGGTGTATTCGAGCATTACCCCCATCTAAAGCCGCTGGATGGGACGTTGGGGAATGTGGGAAGTGTGCTGGATTGGGTGGCGTTTACGGATCGGTTGCAGGGGCGGATAGGGGCGGAGCAGGCGTGGGATTTGATGGGGTATGTACCGTGGAGTTTGGCGGCTTGGTTTCCGCATATGGCTGCTCAGGCCAATAGCGCCAAGCCTGCAGAATATCCCAAGGCAGATTATGAGGTATGCCATCTCATCCTGCCATCACGATAACGCTAACACACTCTCAGGCATATCAAAACCGCACAGCAAACGAACTCGTAACAACTCAATTCACAACCCTCCTCCCACCTGTCTATCGTACCCTCTTCTCAACAACAACAACAGCCACCGAGCTCATTCCTTTCCTCATGCGCATCATCTCGCCTCCGTTGAAGCCTGTGAATGCGAATATCGTGAAGCCGGGGGAGAAGGCGTTGTTGGATAGGTTGGTGGAGCTGATGTTGCCGATGGGGTTGAGGTTTTTTGCGGAGAAGGCGGAGAATGGGCAGCCGATCATGAGGCTTGAGCCGTGCGTTGATTCTATCTTGAAGGAGGTTGCGACTGACGTTGTTTAATAGGCCTATTGATGTGTTTGTTCATTATGAAGGGAAGAGGGCAGAAGATATCCTCGCTTCAAGGTACACTGTCCGACAACTTGTCTCCCAAGCTGTGAGTAACAAGCTAGTCTTCCTCACTAGGCACATATATTGACGGTATCACCAGATAGACGCCGAGATTGCCCGTCGAAGGGGAGGCGCTACAGACGGAAACAACGGCCTCGGAACCACCTCCGGCGGCTTTGCTCAAGCGTACGGACTCAAGGGTAATGAAACGGTCAATAAACCTGTCGACAAAGCTCTTTTGCCAGTTTTGGACTTTTTCGGGAGGACGGTGGCTATTATCGAAGATGAGAGTAAGCTTTGCCTCTATAGTGACAGTGCATTGGCTGATGTACATGGGTAGCATTGGGAGAGAATGACGATCCAGCGCAGGTCCGACAACCACCGAACAAAAAGTTTAAGCCTATCTACAAGTTTAATGAAGGATCTTTGAGTGCTGTGAGGAGGAGTGTGAAGATGTCGGCTTTGATGTAGTTGGGGGCTGTTTATTGAGAGTATCGCCTGTTGTGTAGATTGTATGCATTATGATCGTCTGCTGGAGTATGCGGTGCAGGGAGATATAGATGTGGATGCTCAGTATAAGATTGGCACATTCGAATTGACGGATGAGTGACTGTAGAGATCTAAACTATGTATAGACAGATACTCAAAGGTGGTCCTCAGAGCGCAGTCTTCCCTTTGTGTAAAGGCGACTCTGAATGTGGGAGAATTACATCCAGATGAGCAATCATGCGTACATCTATCCAGCATCGAGCCGGCCTCTAAACAAAAACAAGGCTCGAACCAAACATTGCGGCGATAGACGCGCCACAGCGGGATTATCGACGCGTCAGGGACCAGTGAAGGCTAAGGCACGAATGAGTGTTCATCGTTGTTTGCGCACTGTTCTCCTCAGCACCGTCAGCTTTTCTTTTCTTTCTCAGCCACGCCACCGCGCACCCACACTCTTTTCTACACCTTATATCAGCATTCCTCTCCCCATGCTCGCCCTCCTCGCCCTCTTCCACCTCCTCCCCATCCTCGCCCTCGCCGCACACAGCCCCCCGCACCACCGCAGGGCCCACGAACGCGCCAGGAAGAACTACGAACACGTACACGGCCGAGACGCTGCCCACAATGCCCCCGCCATCGTCGAGCGAGACACCCATTTCGACAACCGAACTCTCGTTGAGCGAGACCACTACGACAACCGTACTTTGACCCCCCGAGCCGACACCTTTACCGGCGTCGGTACCTTCTACGCTACGGGTCTTGGTGCTTGTGGACAGTCTTCCCAGGATAGCGACTATCTGGTCGCGTTGAACTCGGCGCAATATGGCGGTGGATGTGAGTCAATTTTCGATTCGAGGCGGCAGGCGCGGCGTGTGCGGTAGCCGAAGGACGTGTGTCGGGGTGGTGGCGAAGGGGTATGACCGGCGCGATAGACGGGGTGAATCCGACCGCCTGAGGGCTGGCATTACTTTGCGATGGATGGATTAGACGAAGAGTGCGTGGCGAGCGTTGAGGGCGAGAGACGCGTGACAGTCAATTTTGCCATGATACGTCGTCGACGAGGGTACATTGCAAATCGATCATATACTGACATCCTACAGACCCCGGTCCCCAGTGCTTCAAGACCATCACCATCAGTGACGGCTCGACGTCGGTCAGTGGTATCACCATCATGGGTGCGTGCAAAATCTCCTCCCTATACGCGTCGCTCACTCCTCTTCTAGATGAATGCCCCACTTGTGACTATGGATCTCTCGATTTGAGTCCCGGTCTTTTCACCAGGTTTGCAGATGAGGACGCTGGTACCATCCACATCACTTGGTGGTACGAAGACTCGGTGAGTAGTGCGCAAAGTCATCTGGAGGCCGCTGATTTTTTTCAGGAACCCACCTCTGCCGCAGCCACTTCTACGAGCCCCACTTCGACCTATGTCGCTCCTACGTCGACCTACACCCCTCCCACCTCTACCTACACTTCCCCCACTTCGACCTACGTCGCCCCCACTTCTACCTACACCCCCCCTACCTCGACATACACTCCTCCCACTTCGACTTACACTCCCCCATCGTCCACCTGGGTCGCCCCCTCGTCGTCAAGCTCCGCCTGGCCCTCCGTCGAGCCTTCCACCTCTTCATCCACTTCCATCTGGGTCGCTCCTTCGTCCTACGAGAGCAGCTCCGCCCCCAGCAGCACCATCACCTCCTCCCCCATCTCTTCCGCCGCCATCTCTGCCTCCGCTTCGGCCTCCAACTCTACCAACCCCTGGGCGGTCATCAGCAGCGCCTCTGATGTCTCCATCCAGGCTTCTGCCAGTGTGGGTGTCAGCGTGAGCACGGATGGGAGCGATTCGAGCGTGTCGGTGTCTGTTTCGGGCAACCTGGAGTTGATCAACGCTTTGACTGCCAACTATGGCCAGCTCGTCGTCAATGCCGCTCAGGTGGATGCTTGAGCAGACTCCCCATCTACAAATCTTAGCTATGCTCTCTTAAGGGACGGACACTTTCTTTCTTTCTGACGGACACTTTACGAATTTACCCCATAGATATCTTTCTCTCATACCTCTCTCTCCTCACCTCTTTACCGCCCTTCCTTTTTCGCTCTTTCCAACTGTTTATGGGGATGTGTGTAGTTAGCCGCTTCTATATATATATAAGACCGAAAAGCTTGAAGCTTTCTCGTCTGAAATCAATACCCAACGATCTCTCTCTCTTTTTTTGTCGAAACGTTTCCGTTTTTTTTTTGTGATTCTTCTCTACATTGTATATACCCCCACGACCATCTCGTTTCCTTTTTTGCAAAGTTTTCTGCTGTGTATGGATGCAGAGAGTATGCTTTTTCGTGTCTTGCTTGCTTGCGCAGGCTGACTGGCAATGGTCACCGGCTTGAAGGACCGTGCTGGAACCTCGGATCTCCGGCTCCGCTGTTGTTGTGCCTATGGAACTGTGCCGTACTTGTACATCATAGAGGAACACCCGAACTTTGAAATCCAGCACTAAATTGGCTGCACATCATGAGAGGAGATCGACATGCAGTACGCTTGTATGGAAGAACGATCCAAGTACGTGATGGCACGGCGCTAGACGTGCTAGAACGGACTAGTTGATGACAAGGTTATCTTTGTATAAATTGATGGCCAATGCGTTTCGGCCTGGAAGGTGGGATCTGAGTATTGCAAGAGCTGCAACGCTGCAGCAGAAAATTTGCTGGGCCAGTGTTGAGCCACTCCCGGGAAACGTGGAGAGACGCGTTAGAAAGTAAATACATGGCTCGGCTTGGCCGCTCTCTCTTCTGTACTTCTTTAGGATCATTCAACCATTGGTCATCCTCCCAAGTCTGCCGTACCCACCTCTTCGTCTCCCATATATCGATCTCGTCAACACATTCAAGAATGGTCCTCGGCCGCCAAAGCTTTCAAGGAAGCTCGTCCCGAGGACGAGGCGGCTACGGAGGAATAGTGGCATGGCGAAGTCGACGCCAGTCAACAGTGGCGCTATCCACCATGGAGGCAGAGACTATGGCCTCGACAGATGCTGCCCGCCAAGCTCTCTGGCTTCGCACCCTCCTTGAAGACCTCCAAGCCGGCACTCTCAATACTCCCTTTCCACTGCTTAACGACAACGCAGGCGCCATTGCGGTCGCTCATAACCCTAGTCAACTGCATGAGAAAACAAAGCATTGGGGTATACGCCTGGGTTTCTTGAGAGAGAAAGTTGGAGACGGTAGTTTGGATCTTGCGCATATCCCATCGGCACAGAACCTCGCCGACCCCCTTACCAAGTCGCTGCCGGGGGAGGTATTTGGGAAGCTAGTGAAGAATCTTGGCCTAGTAAGGAAAGGAGGAGAACGGCGTAATTCAGAGGAAGAATATGAGGGCCAAAAGGAGTAGGACAACTTAGGAGATGCGAGCGAGGGGGAGTGTTGAGATAGGGTCCCTTGCCATGTCAGGGTCCAGTAACGTTACTTTCATCCTTTCTTTTAATCTATACCTCGCTACGATACTCGCTACTTGTACCTTTTTTCTTTCGCTCTGTCTCCCATATATACCCACATAGTTGATCCCTAGTTCCCCACCATTCTGGTCTTCTGTGTGTATAGAGATACACGTTGACTGATACTGGGAACTAGGTATGTACCACCATTCTGGTCTTCTGTGTGTATAGAGATACACGTTGACTGATACTGGGAACTAGGACGTCAACAATCCCAGAGCAGCTTTGGATTGGGACGGAAGACGTCTTGAGCTTCGGCCGAAACCGCGTTCTTAACAGCCTCGGAGAGAGACTGCAAGAGAATACCCAACCCTTCGTTCTGCTTTGCCAAGCGAGCCTGCTCTGTGGGAGTGAGAGGTGTAGGGATGGTGGAGGGATCTGAGGGATCCATTGAGTCGAAGTGGAAGGAAGGGTCCTCGAGGGGCTCGGACTTCAAGCAGAAGAGAGCCTGTTTTCGGAGGAGCAGCGAAGAGACACTAGACGACCATTGAATGTAGTTGGCGTTCCCCAAGAGAAGAGGGATCTTCGAAGAGGTGTCGCGGACGAGTTGACCGTCGTCGTATGCGGACATGTTGGATTTGGGGTGATCGTAGGAGAGGTGTATTTGTTGGCGCTTAGAAAAAAGCGAGGCTCATAACCTGTTGACGTCCTAGTTCCCAGTATCAGTCAACGTGTATCTCTATACACACAGAAGACCAGAATGGTGGGGAACTAGGGATCAACTATGTGGGTATATATGGGAGACAGAGCGAAAGAAAAAAGGTACAAGTAGCGAGTATCGTAGCGAGGTATAGATTAAAAGAAAGGATGAAAGTAACGTTACTGGACCCTGACATGGCAAGGGACCCTATCTCAACAGCACAAGAGCAACTCACGATTCTTTGCCCCATGGATAGGCCGGACATCGCAAATCCCAGTTGACGTCCAACATTCTCCTTTTGCACATTTTCGCTTCTGCCTCATAACAGTCAGATAATTCGGACTGGAAGCTTCAACTCACATCAGTGCATACCCCAAGCACCATACGACAGTGCTTGCAGCGCCTTGTAGAAAACGACTTAGCACCATACACCAGTAAGGCTCGGCGAACATGAATAAGAGCAGCGCCAGCACCATAAGAAAGACGGCGCCTATAAGGGGTATCCGTCGATATGGGTAGCGGTGGAAAAAGTAAGAAACAGGGAATGTCCAGATGAATATGCCTGCAGCATATGCGAGGAGGAGCCAGGATGTGAGAGAAGAGACGTTGGAGTAGTTGAGTGATTGAAGTCGGTATGGGAGAACTGGTACTATGATGGCCTATGAAGATGATCAATGGCCGCAAGTTGAGAATTAATCGGCTTACATAGACAAGAATGTCTGTAGTAATTGCAAAGGTGACCACCAGAGTTATATACCACGACGAGTTCCGCCACTACAGAGCAAACATCTTAGCATGGTGTCAGGTTGAGGACGTTGAGAGAGAACTGACTTTGGCGCCCCAGGGTAGTGTTCTACCCTCTGCGAATACTCTTCCAGCAGCTTCTTGAGGTTCAGTGGACATCGCGCCAGATGCAAAAGCTTTGCTTTGCGGGTGATGGGCCGAAGCGATCGGGATAGGTCCGAGCGAGTGTGATTGTTGATTCGATGAAGGCTATGAGTTGGTGTCAAGGCCGGTTTTTCAATTCGCTGAAATGGGTCAATTGAAGGGTCAAGATAATTGTCGCTATTGTAAAGCATCCTAGGTATGCTGGAAAGCAACGACATGCGAAGGTTCACGGCTTTCTACCCCCAGGATCACCGTGACGTCCGGGACACACAACGAACCTACTTTGATCGGGTATCATTCTCAAGCCCGAGGGGCCATGCTTATGTCAACTCGTTGAGTTACACTAGCCCATACAAGGCCCCATGTACGTATGAAGTTTTATCCCTAGCAAGATCATGTAGGGTCAGAGCCTTGAAGCGGATTGGGGGTCGTGAAGACGGTCTGCGTAGGTGATGACTGGAGCCGGGGACCGCCTGCCGCTTGCTTCCCAGAAGAGAAGCTAGAGAGAAAGCTTGGGTGTATTTCCGAAGGCCGAAGGAAGCGATGCATGGCAGTGGATATAGTGGTTGTGATATGTGCAAGTCTGATGGAAACTCCTTCCAGATGTCGGGATAGCACTGCAAGGAAAGGATGCTAGGTCAGCGATGTGAATGTACACCATCAGACAACTCAAGCGTCTCACGTTGATAGATAGATCGAGATTTCAATAATCGTATCCGTTTCGTCTCTGAAACACATACTTCTCTGCAGCCTCCAGCTCGTCCTCATCCACCCAATCCCTTCCTCCCATGGCACCCACATTCGCGCTCTCCTTTCCCCTCCAAGCAGAAGTCCAATCATCCTCATCCCCTTCCTCTTCGCCGGTAGTGTCGTAGCGTCGATACTGACTCTGAAAGGGATCATATCTGGACTGTCCTGCTCGTTGGTCCGCAGGGGAGTAGTCACGCTCAGGCTCCCGCCTTCCCAAGGTCGTGGACGACCCAGTCTTCCTGGGAGGCAAAGTCAACCTCCCCTTGACTCCTGCTCCAGGATACGAATCGTTCCGCTCCGCCGACGAGGCAAACTTGCTTCCTCTGATAGTCCTAACAGTGTACGCCGGTCTCTCCGGGCGAAGGGCGTCGTCTTCCTTGGAAGAAGGGGTGAACAGGGTGAGTTTGGAGTATTTCCTCGGAGGGCTGTTGATCGCCGGCTCGGGAGAAGGTGACGAGGGGGCGGTCCGTTTGGGTGTAGGGAAGAGAGAGGCTGGCATCCGGAAACGGCCTGCTACAACAGGCTGTCGAGCATTCTTATTGGGTGAATTGAAGGAAGAGTCGCGGCGTCGTTTGGCAGGCAAAGTGGACCATTCAGGAGTGGAAGAGCGGATAGGAGGTGGGCTGTTCCTGTCTTGATTGAGAGTCGACTTTGACACAACGGGGATGGGCGGTTGGAAACGTCTGGCAACGGGACGAGCGATGTTTGGCGGTAAAGCGGATTGATAGGCTGGGGGTATGTGGAAGTCTTGCCTGTCCTCAGCTTCTAGTGTTGATATGTAAGAGGTAGTAACTGACCTTCAGCGGCTCTCTCCAGTCTCAACACGTCCGCAGATCTGTATTCATCCTCTTCCTCTTTCACGTAAACGTCATCCTCTTCAAACACCTTACGTCCTTTTGTATCACTTGCACGCGCCATAGCCCTGACGTGCGCCACCGAATCGCCAGCTCTACCCCGCCCAGTAAGAGGAGAGCTATAAGCTAGCTTGCTGACCCCAGAAGTCATCGTCTCGCCACCCCGGCTGAGCGACGATGGGACCTGATTGATGGTCGAAAGATGAGGTTCGCTGCTTGAGTGGGGGTCGATGTGACCATTCTGAGGGGAGACATGATCGACGAAAGGCTTCTTGAAAGGTGGTTTGAAAGTGCTTCGTGAGCTGGGAGTAACGCGATGTGTTGTCTTGGCGAAAGGAAGATCATGATGTCGCTGGGCGCTTCTGCTATCAGAGCCCACCAATGTCGGAGTTGTCCTGATGGACTCGGACCACTCTGCTTTTCGATTCAAGGTGGGGGTTGACGCAATTTCTATAGCGTCTTCAACAGTAGTGCCTCCTCTTGCCCCCTTCGGACCGTATACCAGGTCATCAATCTCGGTAGCGTCAACAAGGTTCTCGGGCTCGGGTGAGCGGGTGACTTCGCCCTCGTTGAGCCGAATGCTCGTTGCGGCGAGGGGCCTGGTCCTGCTGGGGAGAGACTGTTGCTTCTGAAGAGCTCTGACAATAGGAAAGCTCTCGTTGGTGGCAGCTCCCTTGGCTGCAGAGATATCAGTGTCAAACATGATGCAGCAGCAGCGGACGTACGAAGCATGTGAAACTGTATCTTATCATTCCCCTCCTTCTCCCTCTTCTTCGCCTCCACAGTCCTCTTTCTCTTTTCCCTCGCAGCCTCCCGCTTCTTCACCTTCTTTTCTTCTTCCTTCTCCTTCTCCTCCAATACCTCCAAAATCGAGAGTCTCGCCGGCGGATCCTCTGGTAGCGCGTTCCCGTCCTTGTCAACCCAAGCAGCCGAGGGGCCGGGTTTCTTGCGGTTCTTGGGTTTGGGAGGGGTATCGTGGAGAGGTTGTTGGACGAAATCCTTTTTGGCTGGTTTGGGGCCGGGTTTCCTGGGTTGGGGCTGGAAGGGTAGAGTTTGGTTGTTCAGTACAGGTCTGGAGTTTGATGATTTGGTAGTAGATGATTTTGACGGGGACGATGTTACGCCGTTCCTCCTATCCTCAGCCGTGACCACTAAAACGCGCGTTAGCCATCGAGCCTATCAAGAAATCACCCGCATGGAGCAACGGGGGCCCGAGCACTCACAATTAGATATCTTCCTCCCGCCCTTCCTGGCCGACTTTTGCTTCGCAATAGTAAAAGGCGTAGATTTGAGCTCGGCATGATCTTGTCGCAAGCTGAGGTCCAAATCATAAGCGAGGTCGGCATGAGTACTAGCGGCAAATTGGGAGGGGAGGCAGTCCTCGGAGTCGGTGTCGGGGGATGGAGAGCGGAATGAGGACTTCCAAGCAGCGCTGGGCATAGCGTGGGCAGGCAGGGCAAGGGGGATGTAGGTGGTTGGGTGTTATGGCATTAGCGGGGGTTTGAGGAGTTGTAAAGGATCAAGGGGCAGATGAGAAAATGGTTGACGGTGTAAACGCGTCCTCAACGCGACGCGTCGGGTGTCCGTGCGCTTTCCTCCAAGAGAGTACTGGCTCCGTTGCGCCTGCGTCGTTGAGCATCGTCAATGAAATCTATGCAGAAGACGTTCGTGTCTGTTACCCGTCTGCTACCGTATTATAAGCTCCCAAGATTCCACCTCCGTCCCCTCATTCTCTTCGAAAAACTGTTCCGCCTCTTCCAGCGTCTCGAACCAGAGTGCTCGTATCCGCTCATCTATTCCTTCTTCCCAAACTTTCTCATGCAGCCTGATACTCCATCAGCTTGGAACTTATAGCGATTGGGAGGGGTATGAAGGGCGACGAAGTGACGTACGCGTGAATGCCGTCTTCCACGTGCTCGTATGTTGGTTGAATCCTTTGGTACTTTCCGTCTAGTCTGCCCCATGGGCGTCGGCCAGAGTGGACAAAGTATTTGTTGAGTAGCGCCTGATAGGACCGTCGGTATGACAGTATCGGAAGAAGTGAATGGTATACGTACCTGCTCTCTCCACTGGGGATTGAACTCTCTCGTGCCCAGCATGTCCCCGAACAGATCCTCATTCGGCCTCACCATCATAAACCCTGCCGAGAAATAACCATACTCTGGCATATACCCCCGCTTCCCAGCTCCCAGCGCTGCAACCCCATTCTCAGCTCGACTCGTCGGGTCATCCCAAATACCTTCAAGCGATTTCAAGACGATATGATCCGCATCGAGAAAGAGTATCCTCGAGAACTGCGTCATGTTCCACATCGCCAGCTTTGTGTACATATCCTTATACCTCCGTTCTGTCGGTCTTTCGGGCAGACCTTGGACTAGTGGGGTATGGACGATGGACGCGCCGAGCGAGTAGAGTTTCTCGATCCATTCTGGCGGTGTCAGTTCTGTGACGTGCACAAAGAACGGTCTTGCCTGGTCCCGAGTGGTTACAGAGTAGCGAAGAGAGTATAGGAGAACACAGGTGGATGTAAAGTACTCTGGGATATCTCCAGAGGAGAGAAAGGTCATGTAGACCTCTTGTGGGGGCAGGTCGAGAGGATAGGGGCGGCGGGGAGGATAAGACGGACGGACGTCACCTTGAGCAAGAGGGCAAATGAGGTCGTGGTGCGAGAAGAAGATGAGGTAGAGTGTGATGGCCGCTAGAATAGCAGAGAGAAGGCGCAAGGTCGATCCACGGCGGCGAAGTTTGAGATCAGCGAGGCGAAAAGCCATCGTCGGATGTCCGCGTTCGAGCAGTCGGATCGCGTCCGAGGTCGTTTCCTCTGTAGCCAGCAGGGATGGACACGCTTTCGAGGATGGACTGTATAGTAGGAGATGAATGATGAAGAACACGTGGGATGAAGTGCTTACCCGGGGCCCAATATTATTGTTTATGTTTCAGGACGCTTGCTGCGGGAAGACTGCGATAGCTCGTTCGGCATCCGGCGAAACTCAGTGAGTGCCAAACAGCTGGTGAGCATGGTGCGACATTTTCGTCAGAGCAATATGATGATCATACTCTGTGGCCATATAGATGACCAAGGGGCTGAGGAATAGATCGGACAGAGCATGGCAATCATCCTCATTCCGTCGCCGCTCGAAGCATTCGCTCAGTGGGCGTGGGCCCCCGCAGCCTACCGGCAGTCGTCCTCAAAATTGATCCCGAGTCCCAGGGGGCTTGAACCCCAACGTTACATAAACACGCCACTCTCCTCTCGCCTGCTGCAGCTCAGCTGCTGCTGCCTCTCGCATTCAGCAACAGCAGTTCGCAACCCACATTCCACAACCCATCCCTAACAATCACCATGCCCCCAAGAAAATCAAAAGCCCGCGACGTCAAGTCCACCGCCCCTTCCCCCTCACTCAGCGTCGCCGCAACAGCCACCCGGGGCAGCTCGCGCTCGTCAAAGTCAAAGTCTTCGGATGTCGGACAGAGTACAGATGTGGAGACTGTAACTGAGCAAGAGCAGGAAGAGAGTGTAGAGGTGGAGGCGTCTACGGATGCGGGGGTAGAGGAGTCTGTGGAGGGGGAGGAGAGTGCAGCTCCGGAAGACGAGGGCGAAGCGGAGAAGACGGGGAAGGTCTCTATGGCTGAGAGAATGGCAAAGATGAAGGAGCTTCGTATGAAGATGGTATGTTTCGTGCTCCTTGATACCTTCCAATTGATCTCTAACTATCATGCAGAGCCAAACATCCCAAGAGAATCGCCGCGACCTCGTAGCCGACCACCAAAAGAACAAGACCACCGCCAAAGATCTCGCCCGACTCGAAAAACAACGCAAGCTCGCCCAGACTCTGCGTCTGAAGGCCGATGCCGAAGAGGCTGGGGAAGATGTGGAGAGGAAGAAGAACTGGGAGTATAGTATAGAAGATGATGAGAGATGGGCAAAGAAGGAAGCGGAGAAGGAGGCGAAGCAGGACCAACATTTCCACAGTACGCTCCTTTCTTGTTACACCCGCCATTCATAAAGTGCTAACATAGGGGCCAGATGCTGAAGACGACGCATGGAAGCGATACGAACGCAATATCCGCGGTACCAAAGCCGACCTGATGGCCTACGAACGTCAAAAGGAAGCTGCCCTCGGTCTCGCTCCCGGTACCCTTGTCCCCGTCGCTGGTGGATCTTCATCAGCAGCTGGGAGCAGCAGTGCGCTCACAAAGTCGGAGGACCTGTATAGAGGCGCAGACACGCTGGCTTATGGTGACAACAAGCCTAGTGAGGAAGCTGTCGATAGGGTCATGGCAAAGATCAATAAAGAGTACGTCCTCGACCATCTCTTACCCGTGATGGCAGCTGACAGCTGGTGCAGTGTTGGAAAGAAGAAGCGTGGCAAGAAGGACGAGGAAGACTCTGAGGTGGACTACATTAATGACAGGAACAGGGTCTTCAACAAGAAGATCTCGAGATACTTTGACAAGTACACCAAAGAGTGCGTTTCCTCCCTCTATATTTTGATAGGTCACTGACGGTAATTCAGCATCCGCGCAAACTTGGAGAGAGGTACTGCCTTGTAGAGTTATATATATATATCTACTGTCGTCGCCGACTTGAATGTATCATCTTGTACTCCTTTGCCTGGGCGATTTGTTCTCAATTTTGTGTGGGTATGCATCAAATCAACTAGCATACATCAGTCCATAAATCGGAAAAATGCTGGTTTCCGGAGTCATGTTTGTGTCCATGAACGATGGTATAAGCTCAATTCGCACAGAGGAGGGAGAGAATTACGTCCGTATGCATTGAAAATGGTCACTCGGGCTCTATTAAAAATTCAGCAAGTGATTGTTGCATGAAAAATGGGTTTACTCGCACAGGATAAGGAATCGAGGAGGCGGTTCTTTTTCATCGGTGATGAACAACGTTTGAGGGGCCGAAATATCGCACCAAGGTCATGTTGTTAGGTGCCAGACCGTCCTCCAACCCCCTTTGCAGAGCCTCCCGAGTTTCACCACGAATCTCAATCTGGTGATTACGCAGATAATCTAGTGCCCGATCACAGCTCCTGCATCCACAGCTCATGTTTGGAAAAGTAGACCAGAGCGGTGAAGAGTTGGGTAATGGTCAGCGCGGACGTGTAGATGGAAGGAGTGCCAATCCCTGGGAGACATGCTATCTTTCCCTTGTTCAGGTTCTAAGAAGATGGTAAGCAACATAAAGACATGGGAAACGATAGGGAAAAGCGGCTCACTGAGGGCGCGAAGAGCGTTAAGTTGTGAAGAGGGCCATAGGGCATACCATCGGACCAACCAAATTGCCCATTGGCAAGAATCAAGACATAGTGCATTGGGAGGTAGGTGCCATGCGCTTCCGAAAGACGACGCATAGAGCCAGTCACCCCTTGGATGATGATATTGCGCTTATAAACTGAGCATTGGCCTGTGGGGATCATGACACCAACCTCATATGCCCTAGGTCGATTGTATCGACGAACGTCCCTCACGATGGGTTCCACCGTCTTGATGAGAAAGCTGGGAGTTGTGTCGTATTCTGCTAGGCGAGTACGGGTACCCAGGAAAGCCTTTACCAAAAAGTTCTCCCTGCCCAACATACGGGATAGGGTGGAGATGCACATACTGGGAGAGTCATCTGACAAAAGAGCACGAAGCTCCGGAGGTGGGTCCTTGAAAGGCATGATATCAACGGTGCCATATCCACAGCATCGCAAAAAAGGCGTGGGAGAATCAGGGGGAGGAGAAGAGCTTTCTCGTCTGCCCAGTGCAAAGCCTTGCAAGTGGGGCACTGAAGAGCCATGCGGCCCAAGTCATCCAATGGAGGTTCAGACAGCAAAGGGCGGCGGGCGGCAAACATCCCATGACGAGTTGCGGCAGCGAGTCGCCAGAATCGGAATCGGACGACAGAGGCCCGTTGATACTGGCAAAGGGGATAGGCACAGGTCCGGCGACAGTACTGTGAGAGGGCTGGGGAAAAAGAGGTCGAATAGGTGGTGGAGGGCCTTCAGGCTCGTGAATGTCACAAGGGTGAGTGGCGTGAGTGGATTGGCCAACAGCAGTGGCTTCCTAAAGGTGAGGTGGAGGGGCAGCCACCGGGGCAGCACGGCAAGAGAGAGGCTGGGCGCGACGCCTAGTACTGGGCACAGAAGTTTCTCTCATAGGTTTTCATGTTCTTGTGTACATAGTCCTTCTTCTTCATATGCAAACTAGATAGCCTAAACTTCCAACAGGTTATGAGCCTCGCCTTCCACTAGACTGAGAACAGACCTATCCCTGACCGTCGCCTCTACTAGTTGAATTGCCCCTGTGGCTACCTATTCGCTCGACCACACATACTCGGAGTCCCTGTGTCATCCAAAACAACCCTCATCATCTGTACCTCTGCTCTAGCCGCGCCTCTCAACAGTTGTCTTGCCGTGTGAAAGACCCTGTCACACTAGAACTTGGATAACGAGCCTGTGAGCTCTAGGATCAATCGTAAGCAAGTCGCCTGCCTGTCTGGAGTGGGGCGAGCCTGTTCACACACAAACTGCCCCACCAACCTAGGGACCGTCTGTCTCTCTATTGGTGTTACTCAATCTAACCATCATTTGTTAGGCCCATCATCCAACTCTTCTCTCGATCCAAAAACCTCAACTTCCTTGCCCTGCCCTTGCCCTCATCAAATTTGCCGCCCGCCAGTCACCGTCTTGCCCTTCTCTGTATGTCTCTGAACCGTCATG